GGCAGGCAGGCTGTTTGGATGGATAATGGATGGGTTTGTGGGTGGATAGGTGCCCCCAGGGCAGTAGGCAGCAGCAGAGGAATCCCCACACAGGAGCTTTTGCAGCCCATTGATTGCACACCCATTTCAGTGAGCACATGGGCACTGCACACCTGTGTGCATGTGAGCTCACCCACGCACACAGGCACATGCATCCACACACACCCACATGTGCACATGCATCTGCACACAAATGTGCACCTCCACACTTGTGGAGGGGAAACTGAGGCACAGAGCAGCTCCGACCCCATCCCACAGCCCCACCACCACTTGCTCTCTCTCTTCTCCAAATCCCAAATCCTCCCTAACGAGCTCCAAGCCAGCAGCAAGGCCATGGCCAGCCCCGTGCCCCCGCACCATCCCCGTGCCCCACAACATTGATTGTGCCCCACATCACCGCTGCCCCTCTGTCCCCCCCGGCCGCCCACCTCCGCCTCGCTCTGCAGAGCAAACAGCCGCGGGCTCGGCTGCGCATCGATTCTGTGAGCGCTGCTGTTTGCTTAACCTTTGCAGAGAGCGGCAGGCGCGCGGCACGAGGAGATGCTGCCTCTCAGCTTTGTCCTTCCCCATCCTTCAGCTGCTAATGGAGCTCTGCTTGCCTGGCTGAGGGGCTGCAGTGGCCCACGAGCAGGGGATGGGGACAGGGATCACCCCGGGGTCTCTTCGTGGACCGCTCGGGATGTTGTCCCCACTCATGTGGTGCTGCATATGTGGGGTGATGCTCCTGGTGCTGGCACCGTGGGAATGTGGCACTTTGGGGTGGTGGCTGTGCCATGGGATGTGGTTGCTTGGGGTGGTGGCCATGCTGGTAGGGATGTGGTTGTATGAGGTGGTGGCTGTGCCCTGGAAATGCACTGATTTGGGTTCATGGCCGTGTCAATAGGGATGAGGTAGTTTGGGGTGGTGGCCATGCCATGGGGATGTGGTAATCTGGGGTGCTGGCTGTGCCATGGGAACAGGATGGTTTGGGGCTGTGGCTGTGCCAATAGAGACATGATATTTTGGGGTGGTGGCCATGCCGTGGGGACCTGGTGGCCTGGGGTGGTGGCTGTGCCATGGAAATGGGGTGGTGGCCATGCCATTAAGGACATTATGGCTGAGGGTGGTGGCCATGTCATGGGAACCTGGTGTCCATGCTGATAGGGACAGGATGGTTTGGGATGCTGGCAGTGCCATGGGGATGTGGTGTTTTGGGGGTGGTGGCTGTGCCATGGAGATGCAGTGGTCTGGGGTGGTTGCTGTACTATGGGGACGTACTGGTTTGGGGTGGTGAGGTGGCTTGTATGGCCTGTAGTGGTGGCTCTGCTCTGGGGACAAAGTGACATCGGCACACATTGTCTGAGCATAGCAGTGTCCCATTATCCCTCAGCATGAGGCGAGTGCTGTGATCTAATCTGGGGGTGTCCAATGGGGCCCCTCCATGGCCACACCACCCCTGTCCCTGTCCCCATGCACAGCCCTGTGCCACCCGTGGGAGCGCTGCGCCGGAGGGTGACTCACAGAGCCCATGGCCTCGCAGAGGCGTATTTTTAGGAGCTCATTAAAAAAGAAAAGAAAAGGAAAAGGAGGGGAGAGGGAAAAAAGGAGCGGGGAAGCAGCGGCAGAGCGCAGTTATCCTTCACGTGGTGACTGCTCGTGGGGACATGGGGACCGCGCAGGGGCGGCACCCCGACCCCAAAATCTTCTTAAAGCCCCTAAATCCCCCACAGCCAGCGCCACGGCCGCGTGTCCCGGGGCTGTGGTGTCACTCTGATGGGTGTCACCGGTCCCCGCGTCCCCGTTGCGATTCGGCCGCGGCGCCGCGGGCGGCTGTCAGCTCCCATCGCGTCGCAATGCCGGCTGTGACAAGCGGGCGCTCGGCCCCGCAGCCCCCGGTCCTCGGCTGCGGAACGCGGGGTGACACGCGGCGGAGCGCGGCCACCAAAGCCCCGGGCACGGAGCGGGGTGTGCCACAGGGCTTCGTCCCCGCCGTCACCGTCGGTGCCATGTGCGTGGGGGTGGCATTGCTGGGGACGGTGCTCTCAGCCCCGCTACCAACAGCGGCGACAGCCCATGTGGGTCACAGCGCGGTGCGTGCGTGGGGCTGGGAGGGGTTGGGGTGATGGGGACGTGCTGGGGACGTGGAGTGATGGTGGCCACGGAGGGGCAGTGCGGCACTGCCGCCCCACGGGCTGCACTGGGGTGCAGGTGTGGTCCTGCTCCCTGTCCTCAGTGGTCCCGGCTGGGGCAGTGCAGACACTCTGGGGACAGAGTCCATTGGGGTGTCCTATGGGGTGGGAGCTGTGGGGCACTCTGGGGGTGTAGGTTGGCCCTGAACTTGGGGCTGACATTTGTCCCCTCGGTGTGTTTCTGAATGTCCCCCATGTGCCACATGTGTCCCCTTACTGTCCAACCACGTGTCTCCGTGTGACATGTGTGTCCCCATGGGGTGTGACCGAAAGTCCCCAAATGTCACAGGGATCTCCTCCCTGGGCCAGCAGGGACACAGGTGACAATCCCAGGGAGCAGTGCCTCGGTCTGAGCCACCCCGGGGACACAGAGGGGACAGGGGGTGGCGCTGCTTCTGACCCATCCGTACCGCTCGTGCCCCGTGGGTGTCCCCGGGGCTGCACCCCATGGCCGCACCGGCTGGGGGCGTGGCCAGTTTGGGGGCGTGGCTCTGCGCTCCCCGGACGGCGCTGGGGGCGAATCACTGCGCGGATGGGGCGTGGTCTGCGCGAAGTGGGCGTGTCTCTCGATGGAGGGGGCGTGGCCAAGGAGTGCTCGGGCGTGTCTACAGCGGCAGTGGGCGTGGCCACAGCGGGCGTGGGCGTGGCCGGGCGCGGGGGGGCGTGGCCGGGCGCGGAGCGCACCGGAGCTCAGCGGAGCGGATCGGAGCGGAGCGGCACCGCCGATCCCCGAACCCCACCGCCCTGCCCGCCCCCAAACCGGCACCATTCCGGCCCAGCGAGCAGCCCCGGCCGGGCGTCGGCTCAGCCTCGGCCGTAAAACTTTGCTGGCGGCCGCTGCGGGCGTGGTGATGGTGCTGGTGCTGGTGGTGCTCATCCCGGTGCTGGTGAGCTCGGCGGGCACCGACGGCCGCTACGAGATGCTGGGCACTTGCCGCATGCTCTGCGAGCCCTACGGGGGCACCGCGCCGGGGGGCGGCCCGCTCCCTCCGCCCTCCACGCTGGTGCAGGGGCCGCAGGGCAAAGCGGGCAAACCGGGCAAACCGGGACCGCCGGGACCCCCCGGCGAACCGGGCCCGCCGGGAGCTGCGGGCCCGCCGGGGGTGAGGGGCGAAGCGGGCAAACCGGGGCCGCCGGGGCTGCCGGGGCTGGGGGGCACGGGGGCGGTGAGCACGGCCACCTACAGCACGGTGCCGCGCGTCGCCTTCTACGCCGGCCTGAAGAACCCGCACGAGGGCTATGAGATCCTCAAGTTCGATGATGTGGTCACCAACCTGGGCAACAGCTACGATGCCGCCTCGGGGAAGTTCACCTGTGTCATCCCCGGCACTTATTTCTTCACCTACCACGTCCTGATGCGCGGCGGAGACGGCACCAGCATGTGGGCTGACCTCTGCAAGAATGGGCAGGTACGGGATGGAGGGGTCTGGGGAGGTCTTCGGGGGGTCCCGTCCTTCTCCTGCCCATGGGATGCTCATCTTGTGCAGCCCCAGGATGCTCTGTCCTTCTCTTGCCCATGGGATGTGTGCCCACACGATACTCTGTCCTTCCCTCTGTAGCAGTGATGTGCTCCAGGTCCATCCCCAAGGTGCCCTGTTTTTCTCTTGCCCATAAAGTGTGCACCTCAGGATGCTCCATCCCTCTTCCAGCTCCGTCCTCCCAGTGCCAATGATGTGCCTCAGGTACATCCCTGAGGTCCCCCATCCTCCTCCTGCCCATGGGATGTGCACCCCCAGGGTGCTCTGTCCTTTTTCCAGCCGTGGGATGTGCACCCCACGTCGCTCTGTCCCTCCCCTGCCCATGGGATGCGCACCCCTGAGATGCTCCATCCTTCTCCTAGTGCCAATGATGTGCCCCAGGTACACCCCGAGGTCTGCTATCTCCTCCTGAACGTGGGATGTGCACCCCCAGGATGCTCCATCTTTCTCCCAGTGGCAGTGATGTGTATCTATGGGTCCCCTTTCGGTCCCTCTCCTGCCCCAGCAATGTGCCCTGCTGTGCCATGGGCTCTGTGTGCTCCCTGCTGTGTCCCCATGGAGCGTGCCAGCGGCCGTGCCCTGGGAACAGCTATGCAGGGACAACATCTGCGGTGGCTTTGGGGACACTGCTGGGCTATGCAGTGCTGAACCCACATTGAGGGCAGTGTGAGCCCAGCCCAGAACTGGGTCCACTGCTCCTCAGTCCTATTTGGGAAGAGATGTCCCCATCCCCAGCTGCTGTGCACCCATGGGACATCTCTGCTTGGTGACAGCCCCTGGGTGACACATGGTGGGACTGCTGCCCCGGTGCTGAGGCTGCCCCCATCCTCACCACCCGCAGCCCCCACATCTCCACCATCCCCATGGCTGAGGCTACCAGGTGATGTCGCATCCTCACGACACAAACCCTTTGCTGGAGCTGTGGCTGTCGCACTGCAAATGTCACACTGCACCGAGAGGCTCTGAGCTCAGTGGGGTGACATCTCCCCATGGTCTCAGCCACAGCTCTGCCCCAGCAGTTGGGTTTGGCCTTTGGCTGTTGGGTTCTCCCTTCCTTCACTCACTGCCCCAGATCCGAGGCGTCAGGGATGCTCAGTGCTTATCCCCGTGGTGCTGCCTCTGAGCATCAGTGTGCATTGCACTGAGCATTGCCCCGGCATCTGGATGGGGTTTTTCCTTCTTCAAGAGCCCCATGGGATTTAGAGGGATTTAGGAGCCCAGAACCCAGCTGGGAATGGGGTCACTGCCCCATCCCTTTGCCATCCGCATCTCCCCATGATCTGAGCCACGGCTTTGCCCAGCCGTTGGGTTTGGCATTAAGCTGTTGATTTCTGCCTCCCTTGGCTCACAGCCCCACATTCAGGACACTCAGGATGCTCCGTGCTTATCCCCACGGCAACAACTCCAGGACCCCCACGCGGAGCCCATTGCGCTGAGCGTCCCCCCAGCACTTGGATGGGTTTTTTCCTTCCCGAATAACCCCACGCAGTAATTTAGGATCCCAAAACCCAGCTGGGAACGGGGTCACCGCCCATCCCTTTGCCATCCCCACGCCGTGGGCTCGTGCCGGCGCTAACAGCTGCGTTTCCCGAAGCTACAAAGCTCCTGTCAAGAGTAAATAAACCCATTCGGGCGTGCGCCTGCAATACAGCTTAATCATCGTCGCGGCCGTCCTCGTCGGGCGCCGGCTTCGCAGCCGTCCCCACGCGCCGGGTGTTAATTGCCAGCATGGTATCACAGCTCTAATTGGGGTTTGTGTCACAGAAATACAGCCCAGAGTGAAGTCGGGGTGGTGGGGTTGCACTGCAGCGGCGATGCCCCAGTGCTTCCCTATGGAGAAGTGTCCATCGCAGCGCCGGCCGCGCCGCTCGAGTTAATGAGAGCCAGGGGAGCTGCTCCTGGTTATTAATTAGCATTAATTATGATTATTTGTATTAGCTTGTCGCCGTTTCGGTGAGCATGGGGTGACAAAATTGTGTTTGGGAGGAAGATGGATAGATGTCCTCAGTGTTGTCCCTTGAGGGGATGTGGGGACAGTGGGGGACGGTCCCCAAAGTGTGACCCCACAGAGGGATGTGTTACACCTTGGAGAGCCCGAGTGAACCCAAAGGTGATGTGTTTGACCCCAAAGACATGGGGTGCCCTCAAACACCGCTCCATGTCCCTCTGCACTGGGTGGGCACAGAGCTGCAGTGGTCACAGTGGCCAGGACACTGCTGGGGGCAGCTCACAGCTATAGGGTCAGTGGGGTTGGTGACAGCACTCCCCAGGTGCTGTGTCCCCATTTTGGGCACTTCTTCCCACATCCCTCGGGTGCAGGGACAGCTCCCAGCCATAGGGTCGCTTTGGTTGACGTCCCCATTTTGGGCTCTTCTCCTTTCCCACGGGCAGTGCCGTGGGAAAACTGAAGCACGGAGCTGCTGCACCCCATCTCTGCGTCCCCTCCGGTCCCGGGGACACGGCTGCTGGGACAACGCAGTGGCTCTGCTGCCATGGAGCCATTTATCTTCCCTGGTTAGCCAAGGGCTGGCGGGCACGCGGTGACGAGGCGGCTCCTTAACGAGGGAAGACGGATGGCAGTCGCTGCAGCAGGGACAGGCGGTGTGCTGGGACGTCAGTAGGTTCCAGAGTAAACAGGGGCTGATGGGTGGGATCTGTCACGGCCGTGGGCTGCCTGCAGGTTTGGGGAAGCTGCTGCCTCGGCCCCAATGGCTTTTGTGGCAGCAGCACCTCAAGGGCGGCCACGGGGCTGTGGTTGTGTCCCCTCAGCTGTGGGGTTGGGGCTGCTCCCTGTGAGCTGACGGAGAGCCCGTTCTTGTCAGTCCTAATTAGGAGCTGCTTCTCCCTGCTGTGCCGCTTTGCATTTCACATGGGATTTTTTACCTGCCGCCTTGTCACTGTCACTGAGATCCCGCTGCAAGGCTCTGGCTCAGATTTGATTACCCCAATAATTCCCTATCAACTGCAGCCGCAGTGCCACTTCCCTGGGTGGCCGTGAGGCCATTGGGTACGTGTGGCTTTTTACAGATGTGATCCCTTCCCGCCCCATGCCTGAGCTGTAACCCCATGTTCAAGCCCATGGGTCAGGGCAATGCTCAGTGGCACCACAACAGCACCACTGTCCCCACCCCAGTGCCATCTCTTCCATCCAGGTCCCATCACTTTGGATCACGGAATGGGTCCAAAGAAGCGGGGGGCCCCATGGGGTGGCTGGGTATGGGGTCATGGCAGGGAAGTGGGGCCATGGGATGCAGGTGGGCTAAAGCTGTGTCCCCTGTGCAGGTGCGGGCCAGCGCCATCGCGCAGGATGCGGACCAGAACTACGACTACGCCAGCAACAGCGTCATCCTACACCTGGATGCAGGTGATGAGGTCTTCATCAAGCTGGATGGGGGCAAAGCCCACGGCGGCAACAACAACAAATACAGCACCTTCTCGGGCTTCATCATCTATTCGGACTGAGCCTGGACCCGTGGCATCACCCCATGGCATCGCCCCACGGCATCGCTCCACACCCACCCAGCTCCACGGCATCCCCATGTGCAGCCCTATGGCCGGCCGTGGGGCCCAGGAGCCCCCTTCCCCATCACCCGCTCACCCCATTGCTGCTAATTCGGGGCGGGGGGAGCAGAAGGGCGGTCCCCTGGCTGTGACCCGCTCGGTGCCCGTGGGATGTGGGTCTGTATGGGTGCCTCGTGCCAGGGTTGTGCTGGGGGAGCTGCCCAGCCCCAGGTGACTCCATGGTAAAGCAGAGCTGTGACCTCCCCCCGTGTGCTGATTTTTTCCCTGCGTCGGGATGTCACCAGGGCTGGGGACAGCGCCTTTTGGCTTCATTGTCCCCCCTCAGCCCGGCCAGGGACACGGAGCACCATCCCCAGTGCTGCAGTCCAGGTGGGAGCTGCTGCCATTGTCCCCTCGCTGTCCCTGCAGGGTGACAGTGGCACTCGCTGTCCCTGCAGGGTGACAGTGGGATGGGTCCCCCTGGGGGCTCGCTGTGGGGCTGGGCTGTGCAGGGCTGGGTGGTGTGGGGAAGCTGTGACATGATGTGGCCCTGTGGCAGAATGTGGCCCCACGATGGGATGTGGCCCCATGAGATGACCTGTGCAAGGTAGCGCATGGTCAGACATGTCCCTGTGAGGGGATGTTGGCTCCCTGTGAGAACATGGGATGCATGACAGAACGTGGCCCCATACAGGACATGGCCCCATGTCAGGTCGTGTCCCTGTAATGTCAGACAGCCTTCATATCAGGACACGTCCCCATGTCAGGACGTATCCCTATGTCAGGACATGTCCCCATGAAGGCAGGTGTCCCCTCCCGGGCTGAGGTGGCCCTGTGGAAGGATTTGGTCCTCCGGGCTTCAGAGGGTGCTCCGCCCCCAGCCCCGCCCCCAGCCCCGCATTACGGGACCACAAGTCCCGTGATGCCCCGCGCAAAGGCTGAAGGTCACGTGACACGGGTGAGCCAATGGGAGGTAACGGAACGAACGGCCAATCAGAAGGGCGGGAGGGGCTGCCGGGAGATTTGAACGCGGAGGGCCGGAAGTGGCGGTGCGGGGCTGAGGGGTTCGGGGAGAACGGCCGGAGCCGAGCGGGGCTTTGGGGCCCGAGGCGGAGCTGCCGGGCACTGGGGGGTGGTGTGGGGCCTACTGGGGGCTGTGGGCCTCAGGGCGGCGGCAGAAGTCCCAAAGAAGGCTGTAAGGCCGGGGGTCGGCACGGCCCAGAGCGGTGCTGTGGGATCTGAAGGGCCGCGGGGTGTCGGCACAGCCAGCACGGAGAGGCCGTGGGGCCCTTAGCGCGGAGGGCCGCTCTAAGGAGGGGCCGTAGGGGCGGGCAGGGCATTACAGGGGGCGGCACGGGCGGAGGGGTGGCGGCGGGGAGCTGTAGGGACAGCGGGGAATCGGCGCTGCAGGGTGGGGGTCGTGGGCCTCCCTTCAGGCTGTGCCCCGGGGCTGACCTGCACCCCGCACCCCGTTGTGCGCGGATCCCAGGCCGCGTCCCGCCGAGCCCGCCGTCCCCATGGCGATGGGCGCCCCGCCCGAGGACGGCGCCGTGGCCGTAATGGTGCGAGTGCGGCCGGCCGCCCCCAGCGAACGGGACGGGGCCGCGCAGCCCGTGCTGCACGTCGTGGATCAGCACATCCTTGTCTTCGATCCCGAGGAGCCCAGCGGACTCCCCGGCACCGCGCTGCCCACCCGCGGCCCCAAGCACCGCGGCAAGGACCTCAAGTTCGTCTTTGATCGTGTTTTTGGGGAGGGGGCCACGCAGGAGGAGGTGTTCCAGCACACGACCAAGGAGGTGTTGGATGGAGTCCTCAATGGCTACAACTGCTCCGGTACGGCCTGGGGGGGGCTGTCCCACCCGCCTGGGGGGGCTCAGCAGAGCCAGGACGTGGCCTTTGTGCTGCGAGGGACGTCCTCAGGGTGGGAAGGAGTTTCTGCTGCCATCTCACACCTTGATTTGTGGCAGAGTGGTGGAAGATGCAAAGAAGATGAGAGAGGGAATGGGTCATAAAATACAGCACAGGAGCAGGCAGTGCTGAACTGCCAACAGCATTGAGCTGGGGGTTCCAGGAGTGGTCGGGGCGGGATGTCCCTGGTGTAGGGAAAACACAGTGAGAAAATACTGAGAGCTGTTGAGCAGGAGGCTGGGTGTGTTGTGATGCTCTGGGAGCTGCTGTGTTCCTCGCGCATCTCCCATCCCTGCAGTGCATACAGACCAGGTCTGAACGCTCCTCGCCCTGCGCTGCAGATCCTCGTGCTGCTTGCAGGCTGTCAGCAGCGCAGCATAACGAGCTGCACGGCACCGAGCTGGGCGCTGGGACTGCACGATGCTATTCCTGGCTCTGTCACCGTGCCCACCTGGCAGCATCTCCTGTCTCTGTCTGTATGAAATAACTCCCAGATCCTCAAATGAGATACTCCCAAAGCCTTGCTAATGGGGAGAAACGCTAAGGTTCTCTAGATTAGCGTCCTGTTCTGATGCTAATGCTTCAAAGAGGGTGTTGAAGGGTTGGGGAATGTGGATGAATTGCAAGGTCTGGAGAAAGAAACTCCTTCACTGGGAGATGGAGACCTGGGGGTACTCAGCTTTTAGGGTGGCTCGAGTGTGGCCTTGAGGTGTCTGAATGGGTGACAGTATGGGTCTAGTCCTGTCTTTATCCGCTAAATTAGAGATGCTGACAGCTGAAACGAGAGAGAAATTGCACTGGGGGAATTGTGCAGACAGTGCTGAGGGTAATTAACTATTGAACCGCTCTGCGTCGGCTGCGAGTGACCCGCTCTGCTGCAGCGTCTGCTGCAGGGACGTCACGCTGCTGACAGTTTCAAACACCCCTCTCCCTCCTCACAGTGTTTGCCTACGGTGCGACGGGAGCAGGGAAAACCTACACCATGCTGGGCTCAGAGCAGAGCCCAGGCATTATGTACCTCACCATGGTGGAGCTGTACAGGAGGATTGAGGCCAGGAGGGACGAGAAGAGCTGCGAGGTGCTCGTCTCCTACCAGGAGGTATGCATGTCCCCGATGTGTTTTGGGGCTGGTGCTGACCCCATTGCACTGCAGTGTGTGTCCCTAGTGCTCGGGACACATGCTGTCCCAGCTGGATTTGGGCTCACCAAACTGGTGGGGAACTGGTGCTGCTGGTTCCTCCTATCCAGAGGATGGGAAGTTTTTCTGCCTCACCGAGCCGCCGCGGTGCCTGCAGTCTGCATAGCAATCTGAAAGGGCTGTGCAGGAGGAGCAGCAGCACAGTGACTTGCAAGTAAAGCCCTCGAGAGCTGTCCTCTGCATTTAGAGAACTGTCAGCCGCTCTGTGTCATGCCTGGGCAGTGCCCTGCAGGGTATGGGGTGGGAGGGGCTCATCTGATCGGATTGTGACCCTCATGCATAGAGCTCCTCACTGCTGGGGGTAACAGGCTGTGTGTTCCCTGCTCCAGGTGTACAACGAGCAGATCCATGACCTGCTGGAACCCAAGGGCCCTTTGGCAATCCGGGAGGATCCAGAGAAAGGAGTGGTGGTCCAGGGGCTCTCCTTCCACCAGGTAGGTGTAAGGGGTGTGCACAGGCTCAGTGCAGTGCTGTCCTAGCAGCAGATGTGACCCTGAGCTGAAGGGAACGCTGCAGGGCAGTGGGACGCCTTACATCCCAGTTGTCATTTCTTACTGTTGGGTTATTGTGGCGGCTACACGGGGCGCCCAGCCTGCTGATACCCACCCCTCTGCTCGATTCCAGCCCAAATCAGCAGAGCAGCTCCTGGAGATGTTGGCCAATGGCAACAAAAACCGGACACAGCACCCCACGGATGCCAACGCCTCCTCCTCCCGCTCTCACGCGGTGTTCCAGGTGAGGGCTGAACCATAAAACCACAGCATGGTTGGCCTGAAAAGAGCCTTGAAGATCTTAGAACTGTGGAATTGCAACAAGTTGGGTTGGAAGGGACCCCAAAGCCCCCCAGCTGCACTGCTGCTGTGGTCTGGGTGCCCCTCATCAGCTTGGGCTGCCTGGGGCCCCACCTCTGGCCTTCGGATCTCTAGGGTTTATTTGTCCCATTGTCCCTCTCAGCACAGAGCCAGGATTTATGTTCCCTGCTTTCTTTGTCCTCACTGTGTCGGTGCTCTCCCCCACAGATCAACCACTTGATTTCAATTCCAGCCAGGCCCTTCCTTGAATTAGCAGGGCTGTCACGGCTGCGTGGGGAGACTGAGGGCTCTGCCTGCAATTTCTGTGTGAACCTGGTGGCTGTGAGCAGGGGAAGTCCAGGTGTCTGGATGCCTTCCCAGCCGGGTGCATTGCTGGGCGCTGGACTCCTGCCTGCTGTACATCCGTTAGCAGTGCTGGAAACGTGCCCTCCCTGCTGCTAGCTCTGCCTGCTGGTGAGCCAAGCACGGGCTGTTGAGGGTGTAGGACTGGGATATGATATGGGAATTGGGCTCAGCTCTGAGAACACAGCCTGGGTGCTCCCCAGGCACTACAAGACGATGTCTGGGGGATTCCACCAGCATTGGGTTTGTCCATCCTCGTTGGGTTGTGGCCTCACCAGTCTCTGTGCTCACAGATCTATGTGAAGCAGCAGGACCGTGTTGTCGGCCTTGCTCAGGACCTGCAGGTTGCCAAGATGAGTCTGATTGACCTGGCAGGCTCTGAGCGAGCTTCTGTCACCAACACCAAAGGAGAACGTCTCCGGGAGGGCGCCAACATCAACCGCTCACTGCTGGCCCTCATCAATGTCATCAATGCATTGGCTGATGCAAAGGTAGTACTGTCCTGTTGTGCTCTGCTGAGTGCCCAGGGCCTGAAAGCTGAGCAGCCCCTCACTCTCTTGGTGCAGAGCAAGAAAACCCACATCCCCTATCGGGACAGCAAGCTGACGCGCCTGCTGAAGGACTCCATTGGTGGCAACTGCCGCACCATCATGATTGCTGCTGTCAGTCCCTCCTCCCTGGCCTACGAGGACACCTACAACACTCTCAAGTATGCCAACAGGGCCAAGGAGATCAAGCTGTCGGTGAGGAGCTCATCTTCTGCTGAGGGTTTGGGAGCTGGTGGGAAGGAGTTGGGTTTCACAGCCTGCCCCGGTGCGTGGGGTGGATCAGCGGGTGCCTCTGTGCTCCAGGTTGGGTGGTCTGTTGGGTTGTGTTATCCAGCCCCTCTGGGCAATTGATGCTGAGGACACTGAATGCAGTCTGTGCCAAAGCCTCTCATCCCAGCAGGACTGCTGGCAGGGACAGCAGGTCCCCATGCGTGGCTCGTGCCATCTGCAGTCTGCTCCAGCACTGGGAGGGATCTGAGCTCAGCCCCATTGCTCCTTTGACCTCTTGCCCATCCCTGTCTCTGTAGCTGAAGAGCAACGTGCTCAGCCTCGACTGCCACATCAGTAAATATGTCACAATCTGCGAGCAGCTGAAAACAGAGGTGAGATGCTCTGTCTTTTAGCTGTGCTTTGATTGGTATGTGCACCTCTGAGCTCCTCTGCAAGTCGTGTGACAGTGCTGCCTGCTGGGAGAGCCCTGGGCTCTGTGGGGCTGCTGAACCAGCTGTGGTACAGGTGATGCTTCTCTACAGGTGGCAGATCTTCGGGCCAAGCTCCGTGCCTATGAGAATGCTGCCCAGGATGCAGGAAAGCAAATACCAGCACTGCTGCCTTCCCCCAGGTGAGGTTGTGGGGCCAGTGGGGAGGAGAGGCAGAGCTGGAGTGAGCCCTAAAGGAAGCTGGGCTGGGAATCCCAAACATTGTCCTTATTGATCCAACCCAGAACCCGAATGTGATTCTTTTCCCAATGGATTTCTTTCTCATTTCTGTAGGATGGAAGAAGCTGTCCCAAAGAGCTGCTCAGCCCCATGTGCTTGCAGGGAGAGTGGTGGGGAGCAGCAGGAGCTGGGAGCTGGGCAGGATGCTCAGCTGGGAGGAGAGGAGGAGGTGAGAGGAGGAGTGGGAGAGCTGGGGATCAAATGCCCACGTGGCACAGAGGGCAGGAGCTCAGTCCCGGGGTGCTGGCTTAGCGTGAGCTCCTTATTGCTAGCAAAGCACTTCAACTTTTAGATAAAGGAGTTTGGAGGATGAGATTCAGCTCCCGTTTGTATCAGATAAGTGATCACTTTGGGACGTTGTTCCAGGTTCCAGAGGAAATGCCCCCCAGCAGCCCCAGCCCCACCCAGCAGGCAGATCTCCAGCTGAGAACGGAGAAACTGAACTGCCTACCACTGCGTTTGTCCCGCAGCCACACAGACACGTGAGTCCTTCCTCTGTGTGCCCCCTCCTGGTTCAGGTGGTCCAAGCTGACCGATGAGCTAGCTTTGGAAGTAGAGGGGCTGCCTGGACCCATTTATCTGACACTGTCCTCCCCCTCTGTCCCAGGCTCATAGCCACCATTCTGGGCGTTGCCCAGAAGCAATACTCCCTCCTGAAGGCTGCCAACCTCCTCACTCCTGACATGGTCTCCGAATTTGAGAAGCTGCAGCTCTTGGTGCAGCAGGAGGCAGCTGTGAGCCCTCAACCCACAGATACCAGCAGGACCCCCCCAGCCCTGAAGATGCAGCAGGGCTGTGATGGTGAGCAACCAGCAGCTCTGATTCCTTTCTTTTCTGGTCTCGTTTAATGGTTGGTGTGCTTGCTCAGTCTGTAGCTCTCCCTCCTCACCCCCAGTGTCACAACATGAACCCATCATTGAGGCTGAAGGCTCTGCAGACTGTTTTCCAGGGACAGACTGAGCCCTGCCATAGCACATTTCCCTTGGAACCACTCTGGTGCTTTTAGAATTTGGGAATTTGCAGTGGCTCTGTCCCTTTGGGTTTGATGTGAGCGTGGTTTGGTGATACCTGCTGGGAAATGACAGTGTTGGGGGTGATGCTGAGGGCTGGAGATGTATGGGAATGCTGCAGACGGCGCTGACTGCATGTGTTGCTTTTCCTTTAGCATCAGCCCCAACGCTCAGCAATGAGCCCAGCGTCCCCATGACGAGGGCTGCCCTACGCCGCCTGCAGCAGCTCACTCCACTCTCCAGCCCCAAACTGGCAGTGAAGAAGAGGAGGAGATCTGAGATGAGCAACACTTCCAGATTGGAAACACCACACAGCCTCAACATGCGGGCGAAGCGCCAGCGGAAATCCTCCCCACTGAGTGCTGGGGGGGAAACGGAGGCACTGCAGAGCCCACGCACCCCATGCCTTAGGGAACCCCAATCCCCCCAGCTGCTGCCGTGCTGCACCCCCAAAATCTGCCCTCTGACTGTCACTAAAAGGCGTGTGCCCCTGATGACGTCGGCAGCCCAGAACTGCTGCACCCCAACTGTGTGCGACCTCAATGTGACTTACAGCCTCTCTGAGGATGTCACCAAGCCGGGAGCCGTCAGCCTGCCCCAGTTCCCTGGCTGGGAGAATGCCCTGTGTGCCCTAAAGAAGCAGGAGGGTCCCTTTGTGCCCAGGTCAGTGCTGTACCACTTAGGTACAAACAGCATCCCAAAGAACCTGCTCCTTCTTTTCCCTTTGGGCCCAAGGCTGGACCCTCTGACCCTTCTTCCTCCCTGCAGAGCCTCCGTCCCAGTGTTCTCCATGAAGGGTTCCTCCATCCCAAAGCTGTCCTCCGTCTCCAAAGGATCTGTGCAGAAGCGAAGGCGAGCAGTGAGGTGAGATGGCAGCCATTTGCTGCTGTGGGTGCTCCTCTGTGGGGCTGGAACCCCCTTTTTGCCCGCTGATAGCCTGGGACCATCCTCACATGTCCCCTTTCCCTTCACAGCACTGCTTCCCGTTCGCTGGGTGGGATCCAGAGCCGCATCACCTCGAGCAGCAGCCAGCGGTCTGTGCAGCCCCAAAGCATCCCAGGTGAGTCCTACAGCATTCCACTGCGTGATGCCCCATCCCTGATGCGGTTCACACGTGGGGCAAAATACCTGGTGTTGGTGTGTTGGTATGTCTGGGACTGGTGGGTTGTGCTTTTTGGGTTTGCTGCCTCCTTCCTATGGCCACATCCTTGGAAAGGGGCGGTGAGAGTCTAGGGATGGCTATAAGGATGGGGCTGGCTGTGGGGGTTTTGCCTCTTCATCTTCTTCATTCCTTTCTCTCCCGTTTCTCCCTCAGAGCATCCTCCCCCTGGGCTCACCTGGAAGGGGCGGGGCGGCCCCAGAGAGCTGCCAGCACGTGATGGTGCCTCCACAGCCCCGACCTCACAAGTCCTGAAGCCGCTCTGCTGATGTCCCTCACATCCAGGACCCCTCACACGGCCCCAAATGCAGCTGTCACACCTGTTCCTCACACCCAGGGAGGTAGAAGGGCCACCACCCCAAACACTGCCCCGCTGTCCCCTGGCTGGTGTCCCTGCCCCCTCCCCCTGCACAGCCCCATGTATTCTGTAGCAGATGGATCGCTGCTGTTCCCTCTCAGCCCCTCTCGGGGTGTCGAGCGCTGACAGATGGGCGATGCTAAGCAGTACCACGCGCTTTTAATAAATCTTACAGCTTAAACCCAAAGGAATGAGGGGAGATGTGGGGTTGCTTCTCCCCCTGTTCAGCCTCAGAGCAGAGCTGGGCTCCCAGGGGTGGGTTCCCATTGTCCCTTTGGGGTTCTAGAGTATTTCTTCCTCTGCTCTGGGGTCCCTGGGGCCAGCAGCAGAGGTGATGACTTTGCACTGAGGTCCTAAAAGCTGCATGGCTGCCTTCACCCCACAGCCCCTGGTATGTTCTGGCCCCGTTGTCCCATGCACCACTCCCCATAGGGACTGGGGTCACTGCTCTCTGCCCTACTTCGTTCTCCCCTTTGTCTTCTCTCAAGCTGGAAGCTTCTAATTAAAGCTTCTGTATTCGTTTGCCTCATTAAGGAGGGGGGACTGGCTCTGCGTCCCCGCAGTGACAGCGCTCTGCTTTGATCCCATTGCGTGGGAGCGGGGAGAAAATAAATCCTGGGGGATCACAGTGGGGGCACCCTCTGCCCCATCCCTCCATGTGGATTTGGGGAAGGGAGGGGGGATCCCAAAGGGCCAGCACTGAGTGCAGCAGCAGAGCTGTCCCTGCCCCACTTGGGCTCTCAGCACAGAGGGGATGTGGCTTTGTGCCTGTAGAACCAAACCTGGGGCTGGGGAGGCTGGAGCAGGATGCCTGATGCAGAGCGGGGAATGGAGGAGGGGGGGCGCGTTAAGAGGCTCCCCCTTGCTCTGGGCTGGTGCCCGTTGGGGACCAGCGTTGTCCCCATCCCAGTTGTTTTCCCAGCTGTCGGCTGCCACCTAGCTGTCACCTACGAGCTTTGTCCCCCATCCACAGCCCCACTGTGCTGCTCCTGGCACGCCCCCGGGATGTCCCCGTGCCTGTACCCCATCAGGGCCAGCGGTGGCCCTGTGCCCGTTGCCACCACCCTCACCCCGTGCCCATTTCCCGGTGCTACACAAAGAGGTCTCATTGCTGCTCTGGGTACACTGAGCCCTTTCAGGCAGTTCTGGCACCACTGGGCTGGAATGGGCTCGGAACATTTTGGCTGCCTAATTAAAGCTGGCCTTAATTAGCAGCCTCCCTGCACTGCCAGGCCTCCTGGGGTGCACCTCATAGGGTCCCATGGCATCGCACCCAGGACCCGCGGTGCCCCCACAGCACCACGCTCGCGCTGCCCCACGGGCACTGCGTCCCTGCTCTGCCCCAGGTTTTACCCCGCTCTCTACGGGCGCTGCCAGCACACGGGGCCGGCTGCCAGCGCTCAGCCACCCCCGCTGGGTGCCACAAAGCCCGGCTTTGTGCTGCATGGCCTCCGGCCAACGCCGTGGCCATAAAACCCCATCGCAGCGCACATCGCGCCCACCTTCGCCATGGAGAGCCGCCGGTTATCCTACGGCCGCCGCTTTGGCCCCACCGGCTCTGCATGGAGCCCCACGGAGCGGCGCCGTTCCCGCAGCGCTCACCCCGCGCCCCGCACGTCGGGCAGGATGGATTTCTCGTCGGTCAACGTCCTCAACTCGGAGTTCCGGGAGACGCGCACCAACGAGAAGGTGGAGATGATGGAGCTGAACGACCGATTCGCCAGTTACATCGAGAAGGTGCGGCTGCTGGAGCAGCGCAACAAGGTGCTGGTGCTGGAGCTGAACAGGGCGCGGGAGCAGGAGCCGTCCCGGCTGGCCGATGTGTACCAGGAGGAGCTGCGGGAGCTGCGGCGCCGCGTGGAGCTGCTGGGCACCGCCAAGGCGCGCGCGGAGGTGCAGAGGGACGGCCTGGCTGAGGAGCTGGGGAGTCTGCGGGAAAAGTATGGGGGGGTCTTGCAATGGGGGGACCTGCTATGGGGATCCGGGGGTGGTGGGGACTGAGGTGGCCACCAGGACCAGGGTGGGGAACCAATGTGGTGGTGGGGACCAGGCTGGTGATGAGGATTGTGGTGGTAGTGGTGGTGATGGGGACTAAGGGTAGCCGCTGTGACCAGGGGGATAATGGGGACCGGGATGGGGATCAGCGTGGTGACAGGCAGTGAGATGGTCACCAGGGCCAGAGTGGCAACGGGCAGCAAGGTGATGCTGGGGACCAAAGTGGCCACCAGGACCATGATTGATGATGGGGACCGGGGTGATAATGGAGATTTAGGTGGTACTGGGATCAGAGTGGCTACCACAACCAGGATGAGGACCAGGATGGTGACAAGGCCACCATGACTGTAGTGGTCCCAGGCACAAAGGTGTCTACTGGAACAAGTATCAGGGTGTCCAGCAGCACTAAGGGGGGTCACCAGGACCAGGATGGTGACCAGGGTAGTGATGAGGACTGAGGTGACCAATAGAACTAGGAAATGGCGACCGGGGTGGTACAATGCAGTGGGGCTGCTCTAGGGGGGTCTGAGCTGTAAGTGGCCGCCATGAATAACAAGTGAGTGTGTCTGATGAGTAACAGCACTAATGAGTAACAACACATCCCTGCTCCACTGAAGGCTGCAGCAGGAGGTCACCCTGCGGCTGGAGGCTGAGAGCACCCTGGCTGCGTACCGGCAGGTGAGGGCAGGGGATGAGATGGGGAGTGGGCGTCAGCCCCCCTCTCTGGGGCTCCTGGGACAGGGCAGGGATGGGATGAGATGACAGGAGATGGGATGGAAGGATGGGCAGACCCCGTGCCCACCCTGGTGATGATCCCTCCATGTCACATGGTGGCAGGATGTTGATGCTGCTGCCCTGGCTCGCCTTGACCTGGAGCGTCGTGTGGGGTCCCTGCAGGATGAGGTGGCCTTCCTCCAGAAGGTGCACGAGGAGGTAACGTCGCTGCGGTGCGGGGCTCCAGGGGTGGATCCATCACCTCACTGACCCCAGTTCCCTGCAGGAGCTGCGGGAGCTGCAGGAGCAGCTGGCCCAGCACCGGGTGCACGTGGAGGTGGATGCCAGCAAGCCAGACCTGACGGCAGCACTGCGTGATATCCGCACACAGTACGAGGCCATGGCTGCCAGCAACATGCAGGAGACCGAGGAGTGGTACAAGTCCAAGGTGCAGGTGGCACCCTGTCCCCGTATATCATCTCCATGGGTTGGGTTGGCTTCTGTGGCTGGGTGGCTCCATGGGGCAATGGCACAGGAGAGCTGACCCTATGGTGTCCCTTCCAGTTTGCAGACCTGACAGATGCAGCTGCCCGGCACGCAGAGGCCCTACGTGCAGCCAAGCACGAGGCCAACGAGTACCGGCGGCAGCTCCAGGCCCTCACCTGCGACCTGGAGGCCCTGCGGGGCTCGGTAGGTGCCAACCGTGGGGCATGAGGTGGGACGTATCCTTGGGTCGTGGCACCATGGGTGCCCAAGGAGGTGGCATCGAGGGCATCACGTCCCACGGTGGTCACCAGAACGAGTCCCTGGAGAGGCAGCTGCGGGAGCTGGAGGAGCGCTACGCGCTGGAGACGTCCGCCTACCAGGACACTGTGGGACGGCTGGAGGAGGACATCCGCAGCCTCAAGGAGGAGATGGGACGGCACCTGCAGGAATACCAGGACCTGCTCAACGTCAAGTTGGCCCTCGACATCGAGATCGCCACGTACCGCAAGCTGCTGGAGGGCGAGGAGAGCAGGTGATGGCCCCTCCCTGCCCCGCACCATCCCTGGGTCCTTTTGGTCCCGCTGGGTTTGGGGAGCACCCTGCAGCCCTCCTGCCTCACCCATGGGGCAGAGGAGACCCGATGCTCTCCCCGACGCTCCCGTTGCTCCCATAGGATCACCGTCCCTGTGCAGAGCTTCTCCAACCTGCAGATCCGAGGTGAGGCTGCAGCTGTGCATGGGATGGGGGTAGGATGGGCTGCCAGGTCTCTGTGCCTGAAGGGTCCCCCGCAGAGTCCCAAGGTGGAGGGGATGATATGCCATGGTCACATCCCTAAGGCCAACTGCGTCCCCAAGGCCACGTCCCCAGTGCCAACCATTCCCCCAAGGTCAATCCTGTTGCTGAGGCCAACCATGTCTCCAAAGCCAACTCCACCGATGAGGCTAATTGTATTCCTAGTGTTAATTGTGTGTAGCCAACACCAACCACGTCCCCAGTGCTACCCTTATCCTCAGCGTCAACCATAACCAAGTGCTCAATCTTCCCCCAGGGATACACTGTCCCTAAGGCCAACCACATCTCAAAGCTACCCACATCACTCAGGCCAACAGCACTGATGAAGCCAGTCATATCCCCAGTGCCAACTGTGTCCCCAAAGCCAGACACATCCTCAGTGCCAGCCATGTCCTCAGTGCCACCTTCATCCCCAAGGTCACAGTCCAGTCCCAACCACAAGGTCCCCAACCACAACTCAGTGCCAACATTTCTCCTAAGGCCAATAGTGTTCACTCCCACAGATCAGGATTTTTCAGCCCAACTAGTTCCTTTTACACCCCTTCAAGGTGTATGGGTGGAGAGGCCATACTGGGAGCAATGGGTCACCACCGTCTTATCCATAGAGTCATAGAATGGTCTGTGTTGAAAAGGTCCACAATGATCATTGAGTTTCAACCCCCTGCTATGTCAGGATCACCAACCAGCAGCCCAGGCTGCCCAGAGCCACATCCAGCTTGGCCTTGAATGCCTGCAGGGATGGGGCATCCACAGCCTCCTTGGGCAACCTGTTCCAGTGCCTCACCACCCTCTGGCTGAAAAACTTCCTCCTAATGTCTAATCTAAACCTCCCTGTGTCCCGTAGAGACCAGCCTGGACACCAAATCTGTGTCAGAAGCTCATTTGAAGAGGAGCATTGTGGTCAAAACGGTGGAGACAAGAGATGGAGAGGTGGGAAGTCTTCATCCCTTCCACCCACAAGGTGTCCCCAGGGGGAGAAACTCTGTCATGTGCACAGGTCCTGTCCTCAAGCACGTTCAGACAGACCTGAGTGGGGTAACAGTCTCTCTCCCTCTGCTTCCAGGTGATCAAGGAGTCCAAGCAGGAGCACAAGGAGGTGGTGTAGGGTGTGCCAGGCACAGCCACGCTTGTAGCCGTAGCTCCGTAGATCCCATCTGATGCTGCGAGGGAGCCCTGCAGTGGGGCCGGAGACACAGGAGAAACCCACCCTCATCTCCCCCACCACCCCATGCTCCAGGGACTCCTGTGTTGGTCCATTCAGGACTGAGATATGGGGGCATTGCTCCCCACTTCCCACCAGGAAGGTGGTCCAGGAGGCCACCTCGAGTCTCCCCACCATGTCCTGGGCATCCCTGGAGGTGTGGACAGGACATGGTACTGCATGGCCAGGGATGTTTTACTGTTGCCGAGCAGAAGTTGGGCTTAGCCAGGAGGTGCAGGCAGGAGGAAGAGGAAGATGGAGCACAGGGGGAGGCAGGTTGATGGTGGGATGGGGAGAAGGGTGATGGAGTGGGGTCTGAGCAGGGTGCCTGGGGATACAGGGTGGTTGTGGGGCTGGAGCAGCAATGCACACAGCAGTGTGGGAGTCCTTGTTGGCTTTTCCAGGACATTGTGGCATGGGACTGTTTATCCCTAATGGTATGCACACACCAAGATGCCCCATCTCCAGAGATGAGGAGACAGTCCAGGGGGCTCATGGCCCAGTCCAGCTCCGCGTGGGCATTCTCGAGGGGCTGGAAGAAACCTGTTGTCCCTCAGCACCGTGTGGCCCTGTCTCCTGTGTGCTCTCCCAGTGCACGTCACCCACCTTGGGCCCCCGCAGACCCCATACTCACTTTGTTTTAGCCACTGACCATGAGCTAAACGTGCCCTGCTGCCACCTAACACAGCAGCACCCGCTCACCAGCACTCCCCTTACTCCATAAGGTGAGCCCATGGGTTGCCACTGGGGTCCTGCCTCCTCACCCCACTTATCTCCACATCCCCCAGCTCAGCTCTGAGCTTTGCAGATCCTAATTCCACATGGGCCATTCCCAGGGCAGGATGTATTATGGGGTGATAATGCCAGGGGTCACTTTGTCCCCCATGAGCTGCACAGAGCTTTGCAGCCCTTATTGCTACTGGATTAATGCCCTAACACTGCAACAACATGAGATGTGAAATAAAGCCTAACACAAGCACTGTGTCGGTGGTCATGACTGCAACCTGCAGGACAAGCTGCAGTGTGGGGTGTTTTTGGGATCAGCCAGGGCAGAGGGGCCCTTTGGGTGCCCAAAGGTTTCTCACTGTGGGACCAAGACTCAGCCCCAGGGCATGGCCCATTCTGTCATCACAGAATATCCCTAGCTGGAAGGGACGTGGATCATTGCCCAACTCCTGGCTCTGCCCAAACCCACACCCAAACCCTCCATCTAAGAGTGGTGTCCCAATGCTCCTCGAGCTCCAGCCCACCACCCTCTGGTGCAGAAGAAAAATATAAATGTCTAAACTCAGCTTTTTATAAATGAGATCGCTCCAGCTGAGGATCTTGCACAAACACCGAGTGTCTTAAAATCCCTTTGGGGCGCAGTTGGCACTGGCAACAGGAGGGTCCTTGTCACTGAGGTTGGCCTTGGTGGCACCGCCGTGGTGGGTGGTTTTGGGCTGAGGTTGGCCTTGGGGAACACAGTTGGCAGTGGGGTACGATTGGCACTTTTTAAAAGGTAAGGAAAGCTAGAGCTAATTGGAGTAGAACAGTCTGGTGGGTTACAGTGGCCTCTTAGAAAAACAACCCTAATAAATCACCGACATGGCAGAAGAGCTCCGTGGTGCTCAGCCAGAAAACGCTGCAACGGCTCCAGCTATTCATTCAAAAAGGATTACATGAGGTTAAAACCCCACCACGAGCCTCCATTGAAGCCAGGAAGTGACACGGAGGTGGGAAATCCCTGCCACAGCACAGTGGGGCTTCCCGCTTTGGTCTTCAGCACTGCACGGCCCCCAGCGGAGGACAAGAGGGCACTGGCAGTGTTTCCAGCGGTCGAAACTTCACATATTTCCCACGGAGGAACAGTGCGAGGTGTGAGACTGACACTAAATCCTCCCAGAGAACCGCAGCACCCGCCAGCAGCAGCGGCACGAGTGGACGCCAACGAAGATGGCCCCAACGAGGACGTAGCTGACGCCGATGGCCTTGATGGCGTAGATGGTCTCCGGGTCGTCGAGCGAGCGGCGGCGCTGAGCCTGGTAGCTCACACGGAGCCGCAGGCCGGCCACCAGTCTGCCCTCCCTCCAGCAGAAGTAGGTGCCTCGGTCGCTGAAGCGGACGCGCCGGATGTGCAGGTGGTTTCCGTGGTCGATGAAGACGCGCATGGTCCTGTTGACCCCCACGAGGTAGCGGGAGCGGTAGAGCCGCACGGAGTCCTTGTCCCACGCCACGGCGTGCTCGGGCCGGGCCCCAGGGCAGGCGATGACCAGATCTCTCCCAAGGGGATGCTTGTAGAACTGCGTGGGGACGCGGGGCAGCCAGGGCTTCCGGCCCAGCTTGTGGATGACGTTGGAGATGGCCTGCACGCCTTCCTGCGGGTTGTCCTCCTGCGGACACGGGGCCACGCAGCTCCGGATCGCCACCTCGGGCTTCCAGCGGCGGCCGGAGCGCTGCAGCCGTGCGGGAACGGCGCTGGAGCCGCAGGAGGTGACGTTGGGCAGCGCGGTGCGGTAGCGCGGGTGCAGCCGGGCGCTCTGCATGTAGCACAGCCCGATGCGCCGCTGCTCGCCTCGCACCCCGCAGCGGTCGCACACGGTCCAGTCCCAGAAGGTGGTGAAGACACTGAAGGCTTTCACTGTGTAGTCATCCCGGACGTGCTGTCCTATGTCCAAGAATGCCACTGTGATGTGCTTGCTGGGCTGCACGTCCACGTCGTAGCCATAAAAAAAATCCCCGTTCTTCGTGCCGCACAGGTAGTGGCCCGAGTCCGACACCTGGGCACGGAAAACGATGAGGCTGAACATCCGGATGGTGAAACGATTCAGTACATCAGTGCCCACGTGGATGTGGCTCGAGTCGAGCACCATGTTGCCAGAAAAGTCTGTCAGGACGGCGGTTTCACGGCCTCCCATGTTCTTCTGGAAATACCAGACGACGTTGGAGACCTCCTCGGGCTTGCAGTTGCAGGGCAGCTCGAAGGTCATGTCGGCCAAGTAGGCGGCGTTGTCAAACATCAGGAAAGCAGGACACACCATGCGCCTGAATATATCTTCTTTCTCCTCGATCGCAAAGGAGTGGAGAACATCTGCCATGCAGAGGAGAAGGACGGCTCTCAGCAGCTCCATCTCCATCCGAGGTGTCTGAGACACGGGCTCTAGAACCCTCCCGGCTGCTCTAGAACCTTTCCAGAACGTGCTGTGCTATGGGGCAACCAGCAGAGAGCTCCATCATGTAGCATGGCCATGGAGGCAAAATGGAGGGGGGAACAAGGGAATCACCGCTGTTTTCTTTAAAACAGTAAACATGAAGGATTGCACCAACTCTTCTGTAGACAACGATCATGGAGAACCTTCCTGTTGGCAGCTTCGTCTGTAGCCCAGAACCAGAGGTTTCACACAAGATATTTAGAGTTCCATATCCTCCCTGTTGTATCAGTATCCCCCACTCTGATTTTGGGAGCCCAGGATCTTCCCTTTTTGTTTAAGATATGACCTCTTGGCTTTCTGTTAGCCTCCTGGCTGGCAAATGTTACACAAAAGCAAAAAGAATGGCACCTACAACAGGTTGCAGGGACACACACGTCCCCAAGATACATGCCACAAAACCCTATACTCAAGTGCCAAGAGAAGCCTGAAATTAGGGGCCTAGAGTTTCTAGAGAAGGTGGGAGAGGGTGAGATACAGCCAGGCAGGGCTGACTCTGCCTTTTGCTCCTCTCGTTGGGCTTTTGAACAAAACGGACTTGGTAGTTGATTCTGAGCTGAATTCAAGGGAATCTGAGCAGTGTAGTACACACTGTGCTCTCCAGCACTCTTGGGAGATCTTCCCACACTAGACCTGCAGGAGAGTGTGGTGGGCAGGTGCTGAGCTGTACCATATGAGAGCCTTTCTGAAGTCTGCAGCCTAAACAGAATGGCTAATCAATCCAGACACGATAATACATAGCATTGGAGAGTCCCTCCGTTACACTGCTGCCTGACAGTTCCTTCTAAATTTCAATTTATGTAGAATTTAGGCAAATCGTGGGGTGGCAGCATCTCTGAGGTTTACACCAAGCCCTACTTAAAATAGCTGGTTGGGTCAGTCCCAGAATTACCACCTTGCACTGCATCCCCACCCCCACCAGCCCTGGCTGTGTGGTTAAGCGTTAAATGTCCTGGATTACATTTCTTAAATCCAGAGTGACAATGGACAGAGATGAAAAAGGGAAGGGACTACTTGGGTTTTGGCTTCTCCTCCATACATGCCAGCCTAAATGTTCTTTCTCTCATTTATTCTCCTCACCTAAGAGATTCTCACAGAACTGTCCTGTGAGGACACCGACCCAGAGATCACAAGGAACACAACGTCTGCTGCTAACCTTTATTTGGCAGAACCACTGCTGCTCCTTCAGCTGGCCTGGTAGCATCTCATCAGCTCAATCACTCTCCTTTCCTCGGCTTCCTTCTGCAAGATGGTGTCGGCGGGGTGGGCTTCCCCCTCTGCTTTGCCACAGGGATGGCCAGGGGTCCAACAACCCCCACTCATGCTCTGCAGCTTCTTAAACAGATCCCTGGTGCTCTCTTTTTCTGATGTGCTCAGAAGATCCAGGTTTAACCCAAAGCGTTTGGTGCCGGAAAGGCTCTGTAAGATCTGAAGGACAGCATCTCTGTCTTCATGGCAGACGTTCTCTGCCAGCACGGTAAGGAACTCACCCAGGAGGCCAAAACCCAACTCGGCCTGGAAGATTCTGCTCAAGGCCTTCCCCTCCAGTTTAAGCAAAAGCTGGTATTTTTCTTTTCCACTTTTTAAGCACCTGCGCCAATCTCTGTAAAATTCGGCAGAGGTTCCAGGCAATTGCTCCAGCTCCTGAAGGAGAAAATAATTGTCAAGTTTTCTGCTTTGTTTCTCACAAAGGCTTTTATTCCCCCCCCTTATCAGTCTGTGGATGTCTGACAGATCCCTCTCATACAAAGAGCTGCACAAAGCTTGTAAGGCAGCAACACATGCAAAGAGACAAAGGGATATCAGGTTCATCGAGCCCAAGAGAAACCAGAGGAGTTGAGAGAAAAATAAAGGAAGAGTGGGTGAGAGATGAAATGCAATGCACATGAACACAGGAACCCAAACACACTGTCCACTCTGGATCCACCATCCACTGAAAGGGATCTCTTGGAGACTGTAATAATTCCACAGAAATTTGGGTCCCTATCAAGCAAACCAAACAGGTGAAGAGAAAAAAGCTAAAGGGCTTAAAACCCAGAAAACACACACTAATGTGTACATCCTATATATATACCCTAACCTACATAAACACCCTCCATACTGTCTCGTAACATCTTGTAACATGCACACCTGCAGTCCAGCGCTTGGACTAAAAGATAGCCAGCTCACTACGGCATCTCCAGATAAAAGAAATCCTGTTTATACTATATGTAATTGAACTGCTGAACTCAAACTGCTGACTGGAGAAGGATTAAAATGCTCGGGCTTTTATACAGATCTTGAGGACAAGGCGCAGCAGCATCAGGCAGTGTCTAAACACGAAATGGAGAGGCCCTGGAGATCAGAGCCTGAGCACTAATGGGATTAAGAACAGCATTTGCTCTGGGGAGATCAGTGCTCAGCCCAAGCGAAGACAAAGCTGCCTTACAAGAGCTGCAAAAAGGATCTCATCATAAACAGGCAAATGAAATTCACTGTCAAAAATTTCATGCAGAACATCTCCAGCTGGGGAACGGTCCAGAACAGAACTGCACCGCCCTCCCACCAGGCTGCAGTCCCACTGCTCCACGCTGCTGGGCTGCCAGGAGTCACCACGGGCATTCTGCCGAAAACACCAAAACAGCAAAGCCAACACTGGGGGCTAACAGGAAACCAATTGAGAGTAAAGTGACCCTTTTTTATTTCTGCAAATCTGGTGGGTGCCTGCATCAAAATAACCCAGCACCAGAGTGGGAAGGGAAAGAAGGGAAGCTGGAAGCACAGAGTGCCTTCATTCCAGAAGACATTCAGCTGATCAGGACTTGGAAAAAGCCCACTGATGGGAGCAGGACAGACGTCAGCCCCATCACACACAGTCTGGGTAGAAAACGTTTTTTCACTGTTTCAACTAAGGATGATCCAATGAACTCATCAGGCAGCAGGTTGAAAACAAAATAGCACTTTTCCATATCATGCATAATTAAAGTGTGAGGTGAAGAAGAATTGGCTCCGTTCACAGAAGATGTGTTATCTCTGGCCATTAAACACAGCAATCAGATGCACAGCCTGGCTCCCAGTCTCCAGGCTGCAGCCAGCTGGAGGAGCGCGGCCAACGGAGGGCACTCTTCCCCAAGATTCCATCTCTGGCCACTGTCAGAGCCTTGGTCGTCTGGTCTTCAACTCTTGATGCAGACACAAAAAAGGGGCTGAGGCTGAACCCTGCAGCTCAGAACTGGGGATTTTCAGGGCTTGTTCACATGTAGAAATAATTCTGAATAGCTCTTGTGCATTAAAGCAACACCCAAATTATTCTGCAGTAATATTTGGGCGTGGGTAAAGCCCCAGAAAGCATCTCCCCTCAGCTGGGGCATCTCCCTCACCTGTGGTATCTCCACCTCTGCGGCTTGCTGGCCCCTGCTGTGGCCTGCACAGGGGTTCCACAGCACGTTTCTCTTGTTCCCCATCTTGTCCTTCTTCTCCAGAGGCCTCAGGTGTGACGCCAGCACGATGTCCCTGCAGGGAACAGGAAGAGGACAGAAGGTGAAATACGTGGGTGATGGAGTTGGTGTTTCTACCCAACAGTTCTGCAGCAGCCAGGGCCCAGGGACTGGCAGGATACCTCTTCCTCCTGCATTTTTCCTGGGGTACAATGAAGATTTTGTATCTTTGGGACTTCCACAAGAGAAGTCCTCCATTCTTATAGGCATTCTTACTCAGCCACCCCATTACACTGACGTCTGTGACTAATTGCAGCAGCCCGGACTCAGCAGCTCATGTCATTTTCTCATCCCGTGGGATGAACGTCTGTGCCTGTCGCTCGTTAGTCCTCCCAGTAACGAGATTTTCGAATGGGTTCAGGGCTCTGCTGGCCCTCACAAGTGGGGAAGCAGCACCCACGGAGAGAAGCTGTTCTGTTCTCCTGCAGATGACTCCTAGCTGCTGATACCACAGCGCACTGCAGATTTTGTGTACTGAGCAGGAATGTGATTTTTGATCGCATTCTAACAACAGAGCTGCAGCAGAGTCCTTTTACAGGGACAGGGGAGAAAGCGATGCCATAAATGCCATTCTAAAGTTTTTCCTTTACTCAGATCTGGCAGTGTGATCAGATTCAGGCAGAATGGGGCTGCCAGCACCATGTGCTCCAGCACTGGATAAGTCTGTCAGGGGGTGGTCAAGTCCTGGATCCATCTATGGATCTTTCTGTGGATGTAGGGGGTGGTGGAGGATGTTAGGAGTGTCCCACACTGCCTGCCCAAAAGGAGCTTCCTGCATCCTAGACTGCAAATCTGCCGGCGGATGGAGGAGCCACCATGCTGCTGTTCAGCAGGACCTGGGCAGAATCACACAGAGTCACAGAATGGCCAGGGTTGGAAGGGACCTTAAGGATCGTGAAGCTCCAACCCCCTGCCACACGCAGGGTCACCAACCTGCACATTTCATAGCAGCCCAGGGCCCCATCCAACCTGGCCTTGAACACCTCCAGGGATGGACGGGGCATCCACAGCCTCTCTGGGCAGCTGTTCCAGCACCTCACCACTCTCATAGCAAAGAACTTCCCTGACATCCAGCCTCATCTGCCCTCCCTCAGCTTCAAACCATTTCCCCTTGCAGGCACAGAGCAGCCCTGGGACGTCCAGCACGGGCGGGTGAGGGGTCCTGACCAGGGGGGGGGAACGGCAGCAGGAAGAGCTCTGCAGAGGAGGGCCCGCGGCTGACCCGCCATGCGGCACTGCGGTGCTGTGCGGTGCTGTGCGGTGCTGTGCTGTGTGCGGTGCGGTGCGGTGCGGTGCTGTGCTGTGTGCTGTGCTGTGTGCTGTGTGCGGTGCTGTGCGGTGCTGTGCTGTGCTGTGCTGTGTGCGGTGCTGTGCTGTGTGCTGTGCTGTGCTGTGTGCGGTGCTGTGCTGTGCAGTGCTGTGCTGTGCTGTGTGCGGTGCTGTGCTGTGCTGTGCGGTGCTGTGCTGTGTGCTGTGCTGTGCTGTGCGGTGCTGTGCTGTGCGGTGCGGGGCGCTGCGCCCACCTGAACTGCTCGTAGGACCCCACGCGCTGCCGCACGGCGCGCAGCTTGGCGCTGTTCTCCCTCTCGCGCCTCTCGTCGGCCTCCAGCGCCGCCCGCAGCTCCGCCCGCAGCGCGCCCATATCCACGGCTCCGTCCGCCTCCATTGGCCCGGCTGCTGTCGCGATAGCCACGACGGGAGGCCACGGCGCGCGACCGGCTGCGTGGATAAGACTCCCGCCGTGACGGCGATACCCGCCGAAGCACCTCAGTGCCAACGAGGACCCCGCTGCTGCCGCAACGGCTCGCAGCTGACCCTTATGTCGCGATAGGCCACCAGGCCGGCGCACACCGCTCCCCCAGGGATTCCTGTCGCGACAGCCCTCACGGGGCCGCAGGCCTCATTCCTGTCGCGATCGGCCCCGCCCACACGCCCCGCCAACCCGGCAGCCCCGCTCCTATCGCGACGGCGCCCCGAGCCGCTTCGCCGCGCCGCGCCGCGCCGCCCCCCCGTTGCCATGGCGACAGCGCCGCGCGCCGCCTCGAGGACCCGCCGGGCTGCCCGCGCCGCGCCTGAAGAACAGCGGCGCCGCTGCCGCCCCGCACGGGACGGGCGCCGAGGGCAGCCAGGGTCCTTCCGCTGTGCTGTCGGCGGCGCCAACGGCGGAGAGAGCGAGGAGGTGAGCGCGGCGGCGGGGAAACGGGGTGCGGGGAAACGGGCGGGAGCGTGGCGTGAGGCCAGGAAGTGAGGGCCAGCGGCCGGAGCTGGGGGGCTTAGGACCTGGGGGCTTAGGATCTGTGTTAGGGGCAGGTCCCGAACGTGGGGCATTTTCTGGCGCTGAGTTCTGGATGTGGGGCTGGAGCTGTCTCTGGGGCAAGGTGTGTGTGGGGCTGGGTCTCCGTGAGGCTGGGTGCGGCTCTGAGGCAGCATCTGGGTGTAGGACCGGTTCTGGGAATGGGGCCGGTTTGGGCTGTGGAGCTGAGGCTGGGACTGGGGCTGGGGCTGGATCTTGCTCAGGTTCTGGGGCTGGAACTGAGGCTGAGTTGTGGTTTCAGGTTCTACTTCCAGCTCTGACCCCATCCCTTCGCCCCCAGCATGGACACCGACCTGTACGATGAGTTTGGGAACTACATCGGGCCGGAGCTGGACTCTGACGATGAGGACGATGAACTGGGCCGGGAGTCCAAGGAGCTGGACGAGGTGGGTGCACGGCTGTGGCAGGGCTGTGCTGAGCAGTGCAGCCGCACACAGTAGGTGCTAAGTGTGTCCTGCCCCGTGCCTGGCTCCCATTGCAGGGAAACCTCTGGAGGGTGCCCTTTTTGCTGTCAGTTTCCTGTCTCTCCTGATGTATGACACCAAGACTTTACCTCCAGCCACAGTTAAGGTTTATGAAGCACTTTCGTGCTGGCAGCAGCTCAATGTGAGTGTTGGTTGCAGCTCGAAGATGATGATGATGACGATGATATGGGGGACCACGACGAGGACCACCCTGGGATGGAGGTGGTGCTGCACGAGGACAAGAAGTACTACCCCACTGCTGAGGAGGTCTATGGGCCCGAAGTGGAGACCATAGTGCAGGAGGAGGACACGCAGCCTCTCACTGGTGAGTGGTGTTTAAATCATCTTGTTTGGTCCTCCCATGAAAAGAGAAAGGAATCTGTCAATTTAGAGCTGTGTTTCTTATCTGCAGAAAATCCCCGCGCGGTATTTGGAGGTGCTGGGTTCAGGTCACCCATAACGGTGTTTTATTGTTCTTTCCTTTGTTTTCAGAGCCTATTATTAAACCCGTGAAAACCAAAAAGTTCTCTTTGATGGAACAGACGTTACCGGTCACCGTCTATGAGATGGAGTAAGTAATATGCAGAGTTTGAAGTGTGTGCTTTGGTTCAGGCCATCTGTGCTGCAATTTCCTTGCTTCTCATTGCTAACAGGCAAGGTGGGGAGGCAGAGGGGTGTGCTGTATGGAGGCGGGAGCTCACAGGGGGCACTGGGTTTGTTTCTTACTAACAGCAGCAATGTAAGCGAGTGCAGCTGGCTCCCTGAGTTTGAACCAAAAAGAAGAGGAGGAAAGCACAAGGCCAACCATTTTACAGCTATTTTGCCTTCGTTGTAGGCAATGCAGTGCATTTCCTACTATTTTTCTGATCCCTTTGTCCTCTGCTCACTCCATCAGTAATTAATTCTTACTCCTGCTCTTCCTTGATGTAGATGCTTGAGATGGAGCCACGCAGAAATCCCGGTGGGACTTAACCAGAAAACTGCAAGCTTGCTATTGATTTCACATTTACCCTTGGTTTAAGACCAATAGGCAAGCTTTTAATTTGTATTCTTATTGATTTTTGTGCTTTTTAAGCTCTTAATCAAAATGTTATATGCTAAAAAGCCTGCTTCATAAGTGAAAATTAAAGTATTTTTAAGAAGGAGATTATTTGACTGGACTTGCTATCCGCAAATCCATAATAATTGATTCTTGTTTGATAGCTTCCCATTATTTTGAAGAGTAGCTGCTAATTTAGGATCTCAATTCCATTTTGGCTGGGACCTGTGCAGAGGTGACCAGCCCATCACTCCTCAGCTCATTGCTGATTCAGAAAAGATTTAAATTCTATTACTGTTTCCTTGACTCCCTGGGAGCATCGGTGTTTTGAGACCTGAAAGTCAGAATTAAGACCTGAAAGTCAGAATTAATAGTCTGCAGAACCCCATGGCTACCTTTTAAAAGTGTGTGGGGTGTTGTTATCCACATCTCTGGTTTAGTTGACTACCTGCCACCATTGGAGCGGAAGCGTTTCCTCATCTGAGCTGCTCTAATACTGTCGAGAAGAGAAGAAAGGCGTTCAGAGTATTTAATCTCTTGCAGTTTTACCAACTCCGTCTTCTCCCACCCACTGCCATCTGTCCAGGACTCCAACTCTCTTGTCCTCCCCATCTGCAGAGTGGGATTCTTCCTCCGCAGGGCATGAAAGTTTGGAGAGGATTCAGAGGGCCCTGGGGTGGAAAGCGGCGCCTGCTTTTCTTAGACACAGCAGAAGCCTCCAACAGTCTTTTGTGCTTCATCCCTCCAGTTTCCTGGCAGATCTGATGGACAACTCTGAGCTGATTCGGAATGTGACTCTGTGTGGGCACCTTCACCACGGCAAGGTAGTGTGAATATCCCACGTGCACTGGGTAGCAGTAGTGATCTCTCTGTTCCTTACTTTGACTGCTGCTCTTTTGACCCCCTGATCCCTGCAGCAGTGTTCTCTCCTGCTCCCGTTGCTCTGCAGTTATTTGTGGCTTTTCTTTCCGTCATGTGGAAGTATTTTTGTACCCCCTTTTCTGCGTGCCCTGTGGGAGGGGTGGGATTGTGCTGGTGTTTATCTCTTCGAACAAAGTCGTATCTTTTTTTTTTCCCCTGGTTTGGTGTTTTTCAGACTTGTTTTGTTGACTGCCTGATAGAGCAGACGCACCCAGAAATCAGGAAGCGCTACGACCAAGATGTGAGTGAGCTCTGGGTGTATTCCTGCCTTGGAATGTGTGAGGAAAACGTGGTTTTGTGATTAGAATGGAGGACTGGAAAACCAGAGTGCAGTCCTAATTCCAGTTCTGTCACTTGTTGTGCTAACAGTGTGCAAAGAGTTGTCATGTCATGCTGTGTTCAGTGCAAAACCACGATATTCTGACTCTTGTTTTGTCTTTGCAGCTTTGCTATACTGATATATTGTTCACAGAGCAGGAGGTAAGTAAGCCCTGTAGGACAAATAGTGATTTCACACAGCTGCCTTATGCTTTACTCACAATTACTTACAGTTTCTTCTTCCTCTTTCATCTCATCATCTTTATGTGCCTTCTACAGTTTGATTATTTTCTTTATCAATAAAATGATCTTCTTCTCTAGTTTTACCAGATCCCTTGTTCAACTGATTTCCATTTACTGCAGCCCTCAGCCCCATGTATGATTTTATTTATCTACCTCTGTGATGCTGAAAATCCACGCAGTATTTTTTGCAACACATAGGTAGTCCATTAATCTGTAGCAATAATATCATGACATATGGGTAAACCTATTTGGTTTTTTTTTTTTTTTTTTTTTTTAGGGGAAAGAGGTGGAAGGGATTTGTAGCAGTGGTGGAGGAGGAGAAAAACTGTAATTTCAAATGCACATCTTTCTGCTAGGCTTCCTGTGATGGGAAAATGTAGCTGGGTGCTCTGATTGCATGTGGTTGGGCATGGATGGGGATTTTATCCAGTCCTAAGCACTGAATAGTGCCATGACTAGAACAGTCCTGGGGAGCTTCTCTTTTTCTTCATCTTACTGCTGTGCTTTACACTCTGTATGATTGAATCTTGCATGCTGAGGGATAACTTAATAGCAGAGGAGTGAAAACGCAGAAAAATGCAGATCTTCTGTCTCTGGCATTTGTATTTCCTTAGCTGTAATCAGACTCAGGTTGTGTGGCCCCAAAGTGGTAGCTTACCAGTCTGCACCCGTGTGGAAGGAGGAGCTGGGCTGCACAGCTCAGTGATCTGAGTGCAGGATGTTGGACTGGAGGGATGTTTACTTCCCTCAGTCCTTCTGATGAATTCTTCCTCCTTCATCTTTTATCTGGGAATTTTTCATTTCATTCTTTTAACTGGTAATCCTGCTTTCCTGTGTTTCAGAGGGGAGTGGGGATCAAGAGCACACCAGTGACCATTGTTCTGCCAGACACCAAAGGAAAGTCTTTTCTCTTCAACATCATTGACACCCCAGGTATAATCCTGCAAATCCTGTTTCGGGTGGCACGTAGCTGAAGGCAGCTCGATGTGTAAAGCAGATGTGTGACCATGTGTTCCTTTCTCTTTGGTCCTCTGGGTAGTGCTGTTGATGGGAGCAGATCAATGTGTTGCAGGAAACTGAGGCCAAATTTTAGGGGGAGGGCATCTGTGTTCTGCCTTGCTGGGTGTCAGTGACCTGAGCCAAGGGGCAGCCCCAAACGTGCACTCAGGTTTAAGGTTGCTCTCATTCTCACTGTTCTCCTTCATTCTTGTTTGTTTTCTGAAGGTCACGTCAATTTTTCTGATGAGGTGACAGCTGGCCTTCGTATTTCGGATGGCGTCGTGCTGTTCATCGATGCAGCCGAGGGGGTGAGTGTCAGCTTCTCGTGGGGGTTAATTCTGAGCTCACACCAGAGCCTTGACCCTGCTTTATCATGAAGGAGATGGGCTCAGCTTGCAGTGCTGAAGGGTTTTTGGAGACACTTTGAGAAACTGCCGGAGCGGGGACTCAGCCCTTCTGCTTCTGTTTCCAGGTCTGACATGACGTGTGTGACCTGTAGGCTCATACCTGATTTATTTGCATCTCCACTATATGTAAAATTGAGCGGGTTATTTATATCTGTGATGTCTGAGGGGTAGGATTCAAGCAATTCGGTTGGGTTAGCACCTGCTTTAAATTTCAGGACAATCACTGACGGTTCAGCTGAGGCTTTCCTACAGGCTGCAGCCCTGTATGTAAGGGTCACTGCCTGGCATGCCCTACATAGCATTTTGTGGAGGGCTTTTGCTAGGGGTGTTGGTGCTCATTTCCCTGCAGGTGATGCTGAACACAGAGAGGCTGATCAAGCACGCGGTGCAGGAGCGGCTGGCAGTGACTGTGTGCATCAACAAGATCGACCGCCTGATCCTGGAGCTGAAGTTGCCCCCTACAGATGCTTACTACAAACTCCGACATATTGTGGATGAAGTTAATGGTCTGATCAGGTAGGGATGGGGGGTGGGTGGGTTTGTGGGTGGATAGGTGCCCCCAGGGCAGTAGGCAGCAGCAGGGGAAGCCCCATGCAGGAGCTTTTGCAGCCCATTGATTGCACACCCATCTCCGTGAGCACATGGGCACTGCACACCTGTGTGCACATGTGAGCTCACCCACGCACACAGGCACCTGCATCCACACACACCCACATGTGCACATGCATCCCCACACAAGTGTGCACCTCCCCACTTGTGGAAGGGAAACTGAGGCACGGAGCAGCTCTGACCCCATCCCACAGCCCCACCACTGCCTGCTCTCTCTTCTCCACATCCCCAATTCTCCCTGACGAGCTCCAGGCCAGCAGCAGGGCCATAGCCAGCCCTGTGCCCCAGCACCCCACCAGCATTTATTGCTTCCCACACCACTGCAGCCCCTCCATGCCCCCTCACCGCCCACCTTCTAATGATCCAGGCAGTGTAAACTGCTTGCCTATCACCTGCTGCTGTTTGGTGTGGGAAATAGATGTAAATGTCCTCTTTAGTTCATAACATTTGATTTATGTTGTTTTTTTTCCCCTTGTCTCCAAAACCTGTTTCCTCTCAGCATGTATTCCACCGACGAGAACCTCGTCCTGTCTCCCCTTCTGGGGAACGTGTGTTTCTCCAGCTCACAGTACAGCATCTGCTTCACGCTGGGATCTTTTGCAAAGATTTATGCAGACACATATGGTGAGGATTATCCAGAAACCTTGCATGCTTTAACATCTCATTTCCTAACCTTTTTGTTGAGGCTTTCCAAGCTATTCTGCTTCAGCTTTCACTGTGTATCTATGTGACCAGTTTATGCACTCTTGAACTTCAGGAAATTGAGAGGTACTGCAGAGCCCCAAGTGACTTTATTATAGTCTTGTAGACTGCAGACTATTTATTAAGGTATTTCCATGCTGGTAAAAAGCAAAAATACAGTTTGAACTTGTTTTTAGGTAAATAGTTTCTCCTGATAAATATTTCTGGAGTCAGGAGTTGATGTTTTATATACACCCTTAATCAGAAAGAGCAGCTGGTTCTATGGCAGTTGAAGACAAGTGTGTGCCTTGCACTCCATGTATCCGGACAGCTCAGCAGTGAAACTGTTAAGCTCTGCCTGCGTTTTCTCAGAAGAATCTGAGTCTGAGGTTCAGCTACAGCCAGGCAGAGCTCAGCCCATGAGGTTTTTGCACTTTTGCCCTTCGATCTTTTTTAAGAAACCGTCTTTTTCTGCCTTTGATTTAATTTTCTGTTCCCCAGGTGCCCCCTTGAGGCAATCTGCCTCTTGTAAAAGAGGGCCTTTTGCTTGCATTGCTTGCATTAGTCAGCGATCCAGCCAAGTTCTGAAGTTCCACGTTGGGGAATTTGGGGTGATCTGTAGGAAAGGAGGATGTTGTAGATCAGCTCTTGCAAAGAACTTGGCCTGAGGGAGGATGAAGTTGTAGGGGTCAAAGACCGCTGTTTCACAGCTATTGTGCACCTTCATCAGTTTGGAGAAATAAATGAGCTCCCTGGGCATCATGGAATTGACGCAGGATGGTACCCTGCTTTTGGAGGCTGATAAAGCATTCAGCACAGTTGGTGGGAGATGTCATCCATGAGCTGAATGGTACTTAAGTCAGTAACATTCGGCGGTGGTCACCAGGGATTTTGTGTGCAGCCACCACTCTTCCAGTAGCATGAGTTATGGTGGTTTAACTGTCAGAACTGCAGCCACCCTGAAATTTCTTATGCTTTCACATCTGCCCACAGCAAAAGCTTGTTTGGAAACAGCTGTAAATTATCGCTGCTGTCTTATTATTTGTAAATCCACCATGACAGCCAAGTACTGTTCCTTCAGCACTTGGGTACTTGGAGATGCACTTAATGCATCAGCTGAAACAAGAACCTGGAGGTGTTCAGCAAGGCAGAAAATGCTGTGATGAGCCGGCAGGGTGTCAGCCATCCCAGCACCTTGGCACTGTGCAGTCGAGTTGGAAAAATGAGGCAGATTGAACTGGGTTCCTGCAGAGCAGAGTCTGACTCCTCTCAGCTGTAACCTTGTGTGTGATCAGGACAGCTGAAATGTTCCTGAGAGGGAAATGTGCAAACCCAAGGCGCTCCTGGGGGCTGCTGGTACAGACCTCACAGGGCTGTTTTCTGGCCTCTTCTCTGCCCAACCTTCCCAAATGGTACCAAGTGTTCACTTGCCAGCGTTGCATCAAAACCTCAGGGTTGCTTTAAAAAGCAAAAATCAGATCTCCAAAATGAGAGAAATCCTGAGTGTCTCTTATTCTTGTTTCTTCCTTTCAGGAGATATCAATTATCAGGAGTTTGCCAAGCGGCTTTGGGGCGACATTTACTTCAACCCAAAAACGTAAGAGGCCTGTTTAGGTGTCTGTTACTTTACTGCTGTTTTTTTTTTTTTTTTTTCCTCTCCTTTTCATGGGAACTGTGGACTGGATGACCACCTGAGGTCCCTTCCAGCCTGAGCTCCTCTATGATCTTGTGAGGGGGGGAAAGGTTGGGTCAGGCCTTCTGTTTGATGTGATTCTGTGTTCTCCTGAATCCCAGATGGGAGCAGAGTGCTCTTCTGACCTTTGTTTGGAGTAAGAGTGACTCTATCCATGAGCGCTTCCCAGGGAGGTTGGGAGGAGTAGATAACTAGAGAAGAGCAGTGGCTGTGTGTATGTTGGTGTGAGGTGCTTGTGCTGTGCTCGCTCCTCACCGCTCTCTTTTTGTCTCCCAACAGGCGGAAGTTCACTAAAAAGGCCCCAACCAGCAGCTCCCAGCGCAGCTTTGTGGAGTTCATTCTTGAGCCCCTGTACAAGATCTTGGCTCAGGTACGTGGTGGTTTGTTATTCCTGCAGCTCCAGACGTGAGCATGCAAGGACTGAGCACTAGGTGGTGGTATGTCTGGTGTCTGCGGGACTCTTCGCACGTTTCTGGGTTTGAGCATACATAGAAGTGATGGGCATCTCCTTACAGCTGTTCCTTGCACGTATAGCCCTATGTCTGTACAGATAGAACTGCTTTTGCTCTTTGTAATGTGCTATGGATATCAGCCAAGTGATAAAACGAGCCGCCCAGCCTGTTTTGTGTGAGCTCTGTGTGAGCAAGGCAGGAGCTGAGAGCGATACCTGGCAATAAGTTTGGGGCCTTCAGCTGCGCCTGGGACCTTGGGGCTTGGGCACCTGCAGCAGAGCTGACAGTGGCACCTGTCGTCCTGCAGGTGGTGGGGGATGTGGACACGACCCTGCCTCGGACTCTGGATGAACTTGGTATCCACCTCACCAAAGAGGAATTGAAATTAAACATTCGACCGCTCCTACGACTTGTCTGCAAGAAGTTCTTCGGGGAGTTTACAGGTAAATCCTTTGCTGCCACGGTGTTCCCAATAGCTTACCCTCACGTGGATGGTTTAAGGTCTGTAATGCAGACGTGGAGTGTCAGCTTGCACAGATTCTTTTCATAGCTTTGCTTTTCCATGTATAAAATACAAACTGTTTCCTCAGAGAACAGCTTGAGACACTGCTCACATTTTCCCCATTGCTGTGGATGCACTGCATGTGGATTTATGTTGTGTTTATTGGGGTGCATGTCTTCCTTCTACCCTGCTTAATTACTACGTATTACTTTTCCAGGCTTTGTGGACATGTGTGTGCAGCATATTCCCTCCCCAAAGGTGGGAGCCAAGACGAAAATCGAACACACCTACACCGGTGGTGTTGATTCTGATCTCGGGGAGGCCATGAGTGAATGTGACCCCGACGTAAGGAAGCTCTTTTGTTTTTTTTTCTGAGCATCCAAAATGTGCCAAATACACCCTCCTTTCACTGCCTTGACAGAGCAGCTGCCTCCTAGACAGCCATCTGCACAGATTTGACTTCCAGCACTCTGAAACCTCTCATCCGATACTGAAACAAATCTCTTCACTCTGAGAAACTTTGGTGCCTGTCAGGGCAGCCCTTGGGAGAGAGAACTGTTTGACAGTGTTCAGAACAAGAGTCTGGGTCAGGACTTCGGAGCATGTGGGCGCTGCGGGGTGATTCTGTGTCCTTTTGCTGCCTTTTGTCCCTTTTCCATGAAGTTTTATTCATTCTCCAAGCTCAGAGAAAACTGGCCTGCGTGATGCTGATAAAAATAACCCCATATTAGCAAGTCATAAGAAGTATTTCTAAGTTCTGTCTCTTTAATCCATTTATATCCATAGGTCCTACCAGGTCTGTGTCAGTTTTTTAGCTGTCTACTGAAAATGGTTTCTTTCTTTCCCATGGGAAGGGTCCGCTGATGTGTCACACAACAAAAATGTACAGCACAGATGATGGTGTTCAGTTCCATGCCTTTGGGAGAGTGCTCAGTGGTACCATCCATGCTGGGCAGCCTGTGAAGGTCCTGGGAGAGAACTACACCTTGGAGGATGAGGAGGATTCCCAGATCTGCACCGTTGGACGCCTCTGGATCTCAGTTGCAAGGTAGGTAAAGCTCTGACAAAGTGTTAGTTTTTGAGAGAAGTCATTGCTGTCAGGGATAAGGAGGAGCACAGTGCTGCTAGGGGCTTGAAGCTGCAGAGGTGAAAGAGAGTAGATTTAGTTTAGATATAAGGAAGAATTTCTGTACTGTGAGGGTGGCTAAATGCTGGAACAGTCTGCCTAAAAGGTTATGGGTGCCCCATCCCTGGAAGCATTCAAAGTCAGATTGCATGGGACCTTGACCAACCTGATCTGGTGGGAGATCTTGGCTTCTGGATGAAGAAATGGTCCTTATAAACCCTTTCCAACTCAATCTGTTCTATGGTTCTATTGTCTTCCCCCACCTTTTAGGTATCACATTGAGGTTAACCGTGTTCCTGCTGGCAACTGGGTGCTGATAGAAGGAGTGGACCAGCCCATTGTGAAGACTGCAACTGTCACGGAGCCGAGAGGCAATGAGGAGGTACTGTGGGTAGCTACTGTCACTCAGCCTTGCAGGGACTCAGAGTGTTGGAATGTATCTTAAAATCTCGGGTGGTGAGATTAAATAAACTCTGCCTGCAAAGAGCCTGGGCACAAGAGCCACCAATGGAAGAACAACTCAAATGCTCCATCAGACCCCATTGTACATCTGTGATGCAAAGCTCTTTGTCCTTACCTGATTGCAGGCTCAGATCTTCCGACCTTTGAAGTTCAACACAACATCTGTCATCAAAATAGCAGTAGAGCCAGTCAACCCCTCTGAGCTCCCCAAAATGTTGGATGGTCTCCGCAAAGTCAACAAGAGCTACCCATCGCTTACTACAAAGGTATTTCTGGTGTTTGTGTGCTGACTGTTCTCAGCTTGTGCTGTGGGATACCTCGTAGGCTGATCTTAAAAACAAGTCAGTTTAACTGTGGGATGTTTTGTTTGTTCTGGCTTTTTTTTTTAGTGCTGATAAATCCTGATGTTTATGTAGGGCTCTGCAGGACAAGGGCCTGTGAACAATAATGCTGTGAGCTGAACCCTGCTCTTGTTTTTCAGGTGGAAGAGTCTGGAGAACACGTGATCTTGGGAACAGGGGAGCTCTACCTGGATTGTGTGATGCATGATCTGCGGAAGATGTATTCTGAGATTGATATCAAGGTGAGGAACTGAGAGGGGAGGCTTTTCCCAGCTGGGGAAGGGCTTTGTCCTTCAAACTCAGAAGGATGGGAAAATAAACTTTGCACAGTGGACAGGGTGACTGTCTGCCTCTGATTCCTCCCCAGCATGCTGAGGTTGTTGCAGCTGCCCCTGTGGCAGCTTGCAAGTTGTAGAGAGGCTTCTGTGTCAGCCTAAATAACTACAAACCTGTTGCTGTTATTCCAGGTCGCCGATCCGGTTGTGACATTCTGTGAGACAGTGGTGGAAACGTCCTCCCTGAAGTGCTTTGCTGAGACTCCCAATAAGAAGTAAGAGCCTGAGGCACCTCTGGGGAGCAGTCAGTGGGGACAGGCAATGGAGGGGTTCTCTGAGGGAGGTGTTCCCAGACAAGTGGCAGCCTTCCATCTGCTGAACCCCCAGTAACACACTGAGTCCCACAGATGTTTGCGTGCTCTCTGTGAGCTATCAGAATGGAGGGAATAAAAAGAGATCCACATTCTCCTTTCCTTTAACTGAATTTCACACCCTCTCAACGACAGTTTTCTGTTGTTTCCAAGGTGGGAGGTGTATTGGGATCATAGAACAGGTGCCAAAGAGCCTATTACTGCCTTCAGTAACTCCCCAAACTGTGAAAAGTCTCGTCTTATCCATTCTTAATCTTGAAATTAATACACTCCTTTCCTGGTGTCTTGCAAGCCAGTCTTGTCTTCATGCTCCAGCAAGGTGTTATGAGATATGCGTGAAAGAGGGAGGCCTGGTACAGAACATAGACTGAATAACCAGAATGAAAGTACAGCATGTTTTAATGCCTGAGTTTTCATGCAAATCATGATCTGTCATACACCAAAGATTGTTTTCCTGTATTCCACTGTGCTTTCTGGTTCTTCTTGCCATCTTTTTACTGATATATTGTGGCTGGAAGTCTTGTTTTTGGGAACAGGCAGGTTTTGCTCTTTGGACTGTCTTTAGAGGTGCAGGACAGGTGGAATGATGTGCTCTAGGGCCAGAGTTCCCATGTGAATGGGGTTCTCCAAGGCAACATCCCTTGTGTCTGACATTTCACTTCCTTTTGCAGCCAGTATGAGCTCTGGACATCTGGCAGGGAAGGATAGGGCACTCCTGTCCCTTAGCAATCTGCTGCTAGGAATGAGCAGACTTGGGAGAGCAGTTGTTAGCAGTGTGGGCTGTCTTTACAAGCACAACAGTAACACTGAAAGACATGGATGGCTTCATCTCTCTGGCTGTGTTGCACAGTCCCCGAGGTCCTGCCAATTACTCCCATTTCCGTCATTCTGTGGACTAATTGCAACTGTCTCTCTTCTGAGGAACAAGATCACGATGATTGCTGAGCCTCTGGAGAAGGGACTCGCGGAGGATATTGAAAATGAAGTGGTCCAAATAACGTGGAACAGGTATGGACAATTTGGGGAAAGCAAGAATCCTTCTAGAGGGAAATAATTGGGAAAGTAGGGAGTGCTGGGATCTGCAAGTATCAGTCAGCAGCTCCCAGGCAGGGATCCTGGGTGCACCATTAATACCAGCGAGTCTGGGAGCGTCCTGTCCCAGCAAACAGTTTGCTCCACGTGAAAAGCTGAGACCGTTTTTATGTGGAACAGGTTTATAAACATGTTCTGAGTGCAGATCAGACACTGGTTTCTTAAACTTTCTTCTGTTCTTCCATCAGAAAGAAGCTGGGTGAATTCTTCCAGACCAAATATGACTGGGATTTGCTGGCTGCCCGTTCCATCTGGGCCTTTGGGCCGGATGCCACTGGCCCAAATATCCTGGTAGATGATACTCTGCCCTCAGAGGTGAGAAACAGGGGTTATCTTTGAGTGAAACGTTTATTCTCTTCTGTCCAGAGGTGACAGTTCCCTCCAGGACCTGCAGCAAGGACCTAACACTAGGAGTTCTTGTTGGTTTGTCATATCTCAGGTGTATTGAGCTTCCTCCCCCATGCTCATTACATAGCTGATGAACTGCCTGCTGTTTTTCAGTCTACGGTTTGGGCCAGCATTCTCAGAACTGGCAACTGAACAGCCTGTCTTTAAGGATTACCAAAATATGCACTTGTAATTTATGAGTATAGATGTCAAACTATGATGATTGTGGGGGGTGCAGAAGAACATGGCTGCTCATCTAATAACCAACTTTTAAACACTGGGGTCTGTCTGTTCTGGCCTTGTGAGGAACATTTGGTCTCTTTGTCTGTAGGTGGACAAGGCACTGCTGGGCTCTGTGAAGGACAGCATTGTGCAGGGATTTCAGTGGGGGACCAGGGAAGGGCCTCTCTGTGATGAATGTAAGTAGAACCTGTGTAGAAGTGGGGCTGATGAATGAATAAATTCTACTATCTGTTAGTGGTTTTAAGTGGCTGAACTTTCTCTGATGGCTCTCTCTCTTCTGTGACCCTTGTGCTCAGAGTCTTTGGGGATACATGGCTGGTGCTGGTATGACAAAGGACATCTGCTAAGGTGCTGTTGTTTCTTCCCTTCCTCAGTGATCCGCAATGTGAAGTTTAAGATCCTGGATGCAGTGATTGCTCAGGAACCTTTGCACCGAGGTGGAGGACAGATCATCCCAACGGCACGGAGGGTGGTGTACTCAGCTTTCCTGATGGTGAGCATTGCACTGGACATGACAAAAACTGAGCCTCGTGCAGTGCTGGCTCCTGTGATGGCTTAGAGGCTGCAAGGAGCACAGGTTGTATGTGTGCTGCAGTATCTGCCATGAGGATTGTGTGATTTAAACTGCCTCGTGAATGTTTGCAGTGCCCTTTCAGGCTGGCATGCAGGTTTTACAAGTGGTCACGTTCCAGTCTGGCTGGAATCCTGCCTGCATCTGCTCTGTCTCATGCTGTGCAAGTGTTAGACTTGCTGGGGAAGGTGGGAATGGGGGATAGGGAACACAACGTGGGCAGGAGGAGAAAAGCGCAGAGCTCCTGTTTGCTGGGGTTTGTTCAGGCACGCAGTGGGCAGCAGGAACCCTCTCATCCCCACTCAGGTGCTGCTTGAGCAGTTTGACAGCTTCTGATCCTTTGTATGCTGCAGCACGTTGCACTGCTGTGGGCTCATCTGCTGTGTCCCTTTCTGCCCCAGGCCACTCCTCGTCTGATGGAGCCCTACTACTTTGTGGAGGTGCAGGCCCCAGCTGACTGCGTGTCCGCCGTGTACACCGTGCTGGCACGGCGCAGGTGAGCTGCCATCACCTGAGCAGTGCAAAGCAGCAGCTGCTCGCCTGGGATCCGGGTGGTAGTGACCTCTGCAGTCCTTTGGAGGGGGAGAGGGGTGACTTGGAAGTGAGGGGAGAGGGTGAAATCTGTCCCCTGTGCTGTGTGGGGAGGAGATGCCCAGCACCACGTACCGCACTTGGCTTTGTGCCTGGTTCTGTTGGAGTGTTGGAGAGGAGAAATAAAAGGGGATGTGTAGAAAACGAATGTTTTTACTTTCTGGCAGAGGCCATGTGACGCAAGATGCTCCAATCCCAGGCTCCCCTCTGTACACCATCAAAGCCTTCATCCCTGCCATTGATTCCTTTGGTTTTGAGACAGACCTGAGGACCCACACGCAGGGGCAGGCATTCTCACTGTCTGTCTTCCACCACTGGCAGGTGAGTCTTGCTGGGAAGGAGGGGATGGCAGATCAGGCTGTGCTCTGTGCAGCAGCTTACACAGGGCAGGCCAGACGTCCTCAGATAATCTCCAGTGCGGGCATTTGGAGCTAGTGGAGGCTTTGTGCACTTTCTGTGAAGTGTCTGCCAGAAGCCTGAGGCTTTGCTCCATGTTACCCAGCATTTTCCCTAGCAGGAGTGCTGAATGCTGCTCATTGAGCTCAAGGATCCCTCAGTGCCTGAGAAGGCACACTCTGCTGGGTGCTGTTTGGGTGCACTGAGCTCTGGTGCTTGGGGAGCACAGGGCTTGGACTTGTTGGAATGCTGTGGTTGCCACCCTTCAGCTTTGTCTCTCTCACCCTTAGCTGCACTCTATTAGTGACTTCCTACAGGATTGATCACAGGTGGCAATGTGACTGTTTCTCCCTGCCTGGAGAACAGATGCTACATTAGGGCTTTCTGACACCCAAAGGTGTCACACTTGGGGGTGTCTGCAGGGCCTCTGCATGTTTCCCGTTGCAGCTCAGGCTCTCCTGGAGCTCCCGGCATTGCTCTTAGCTGTGGTCTTATTGCAGATTGTGCCTGGTGACCCTTTGGACAAAAGCATTGTCATCCGCCCCCTGGAGCCTCAGCCAGCCCCACATCTGGCCAGAGAGTTCATGATCAAGACCCGGCGCAGGAAGGTACGTCTGCAGGACACCAGGATCCATGGGGTCTCTGCCAGGATGGCTGTATGGCTGCTGGCATGCAGAGGAATAACACAGATTTGGGTTACTCTACAGGGCTTGAGCGAGGACGTAAGCATCAGCAAGTTCTTCGACGACCCCATGTTGCTGGAGCTGGCCAAGCAAGACGTCGTTCTCAACTACCCCATGTGAATGCATCTCTGCTGAGCCCAGTGAGCCCAGTGAGCCCAGTGAGCCCAGTGAGCCCAGTGAGCCCAGTGAGCCCAGTGAGCCCAGCACTTCCCCACCCCTCAGGGCTCCTCAGGTCCCCCTTGTATGGTTGGAGAAACCTCTTGGGGTGTTTGTGCACCGCGTGCTCAGCGCCTGCCCCACACGCAGTACAGCCTGGGCACTGATGCTTTGTGTGTTATCAAAGCTCTGTGTGCAGTGAGGAGGTTTTCCCTTTAGATCTGCTGTCTGCAGGTACACAGGTGTGGTTTGGGCTGCAACGTATCAGCTTGAGCTGAATGTTTGGACTCCTGGGCTGTAAGGCTGCTGGGTCAGCTCCCTGCTTTTGGCAGCGCTGCCCAAGGGTGCTCTGCCTTCCTTTGGGGCAGGCGCAGTGAGGGCAGGGGCTGTTCCTACCAGCCTTCCCAGGAAAAGGGGCAAGTCTGGATTTTACCCTTTTTTTGTACATGTTTTTGGAACCCTGGTAAACATTGAATACAAACTTCCACCCAAAGCTCAGTCTGATCCTTTTGGCAGACAGGAGAGGGTACAGTGCCCTGGTTGCCCCCACCCCAGCACTGCTTTCTGTCTTTGTCACTGTGCCTCAGCCAGGACAAGTCATGCAGGCAGTCCTGCATTAAGCTTTCCTTCCTTTCTTGCTAGGCTTTGGCCCACTGCTGTGTTTGCAGAGGCTCCAGAAGGCTCAGCCCCATTGCAGCAAGGGCTTTGTCCCTGGAGAGTGAAGGACGACATCCATCATCCCTCCAGCACAGCTCTGGCCCCAGATCTGTGCTCTAGGCCTGGGTATCAGCTCTGGGGGGCTCTGCTGTTCCTTATGGGCAGACCCCCGAGTATCTCCCTTTCTCCCTGCCCATCCCATTTCTCTGCACACCCCAGTGGGTGCAGGACGGGGCCGGCAGCGTGGGAAGCGGTCAGTTCTCACACAGGATGCTCCCAGTGGGATCGCAGCTGGAAAACACTGACCTGCAACAGCCGGCCCCACATGCGGGGTGGAAATTTTCCACGGATGCAGTCATTCCATGGGAATGGGGAATGTGTGCGGGACGGGGGTGGGGGCTGGAATTCCTCCTTGTCTGCCTGGCCGTGGGGTGGTGCAGTGGTAAACTGAGGCACAGCAGCATGGGGAGCTGGGAGCAGGGCTCTGTGCATGGCCTGAGTTCAGCAGGGCTCGGCAGTGGGGCAGTAGGAACACGGGGCACGCAGTATTAGCAGTGGGGCCCCTCTGCAGTTGGACCATCAGCTGGGATGGGGCCCCACATTGGCCCCATTGGTGCAGCACTCACAGCCCCAGTGGGGTTGTGAGGTGCTGAACAATGGGGTGAGCCCCATCCCGTTCCCAGTGTTCCTGTCCCCAACCTGTCCCCATATCTCTGTTTCCAGTCTCCATGTCCCAATGTTCCTGTCTCCATGTCCCCATTCTGATCCCATTCCCAGTGTCCCTGTCCTTGCCGTGTCCCTGTCCTCACATCCCATCCTCATCCTATTCTCAGTGTCCCTGTCCTCATCTTATTCCCAGCATTCCTTTCCCCAACCTGTCTTCGTATCCCTGTCCCCATATCCCCATTCCCAATGTCCTTGTCCCCATATCCCCATCCCACCCCATGTCCCTATCCTCATGTCCCTATTCCCATTCCCAGTGTCCCTGCCCCCAACCTGTCCCCATGTTTTCAGTGTCCCTCTCCCCCCCATCCCTCACCCCATTCACAGTCTTTGTCCCTCTGTCCTTGTCCCCCACTTCCCACCCTATTCCCAGTGTCCCTGCCCCCAACCTGTCCCCATGTCTCCATCCCATTCCCCATGTCCCCATCCCCTATTCCCATCCCGTTCTCCCTGTCCCCAGTCCCCCTGTCCCCATCCCATTCCCCACATCCCCATCCCAGTCCCCCTGTTCCCATCCGATTCCCCCTGTCTTACTGTCCCTATTCTCCACATCCCCATTCCATTCCCTATGTCCCCCACCCCATGTCCCCTATCCCCGTCCTATTCCCCATGTCCGTATCCCAGTCCCCATGTCCCCCCTCATGTCCCTTATCCCCACCCCATTCTCCACATCTCCCTATCCCCTCCCATTCCCCCTGTTCCCACCCACTCCCCGTGTCCCCCTATCCCCATCCCACGCCCCCCGCCCCCCTCCCACTCTCCCATCCCCGTTCCCTCGCCCCCCACCCATCACCCCGCGGTTCCGCGGCAGCACGGCGCAGTCGAGGTGGGTTTTGGGGACGCCGCGCGCATGCGCCGCCCCGCGCCCCCCGCCCGAGCCGCGCTGAGGGCGGCGGCGGCCATGAGGGGCGAGCAGCGGCCCGCGGGGCCGCGAGGGGCGGCGCGGGGCCGGGGGTGACGCGGGGTCCCCGCCGTGCCAGCAGCGCCGCGCCGTGCGGGGTTCGGCGCTCACACGCGGCACAAAGCCCGCCGTGGGGCCGCAGCCCGACTCCGACCCCGCAGCTCCCGCGGGCGCTGAAGGCCGCGGTGCCGCCGGCAGCCAGCGGAAGCGGCCGCGGTGCCCGCTGTGTCCTCGTCGGGTGAGCGCCTGGAGACACGGGCGGCCGGGGGTGCGGGGCTGGTGGGACACGTGGGGATTTATGGACAGCTGGCTGCAGACACATGGTGGCCCCATAGCCACATAGGACGTTTGGGGTTGGTTCTCCATAGATAGATATGGGACATCTAGGGTTGATGACATCCCGCATTCAGCTATCTGGGGTTGGTGGGCTCTCCACATTTCACTTTAGAACATTTGGGGTTGGTAGGCTCTCCGTAGCCCAGTTTGGGACACCTGGGGTTGGTGGCCTCTCCATGTTCCACTTTAGAACATTTGGGGTTGGTGGGCTCTCCATAGCCAGCTATAGGACACCTGAGTTTCGTTGGGTCTCCATATTCAGCTATGGGATACCTGGGGTTGGTGGGCTCTCCACGTTTCACTTTAGAACATTTGGGGTTGGTGGGCTCTCTGTAGCCCAGTTTGGGACACCTGGGGTTGGTGGCATCCCATGGTACATCTGGGGTGTCAGACAAATGGTGCCCCCCCATAGCCAGCTATAGGACGTTTGGGGTTGGTGGTCTCTCCATAGATAGATATGGGACATCTGGGGTTGATGACATCCCTCATTCAGCTATGGGACAGCTGGGGTTGGTGGCCTCTCCACGTTCCACTTTAGAACATTTGGGGTTGGTGGGCTCTCTGTAGCCCAGTTTGGGACACCTGGGGTTGGTGGCATCCCATGTTCAACTTTGGCACATCTGGGGTACCAGACAAATGGTGGCCTCCCATAGGACACCTGGGATTGGTGGTACTTCATATTCAGCTCTGGGATATTTGGGGTTGATGGCACCCTTAGCCAGTTATGGGACATTTGGGGTTGGTGGCACCTATAGCCAGCTATAGGACACCTGGGGTTGGTGGCACCCCATATTCAGCTATGGGACATCTGGGGTTGGTGGACTTTCCACATTTCACTCTGGAACAGTTGGGGTTGGTGGGCTCTCCATTGCCCAGACTGGGACACCTGGTTTTGGTGGCATCCCGTGTTCAGCTCTGGTACATTGGGGTTAGTGGCACTCTATAGGACGTCTGGGGGTGCCAGACAAATGGTGGTCCTCCATAGCTAACTATAGGACATTTGGGGTTGGTGGCATCCCATGTTCACCTCTAACACTTCTGGGACACTTCTCTCCATATTGAGCTCTGAGACATCTGGGGTGCCAGACAAACGATGGCCCTCCAATAGCTAGCTATAGGACATTTGGGGTTGGTGGTCTCTCCATAGCCAGATACGGGATGTCTGGGGTTGGTGGCACCCCACATTCAGCTCTGGGCCATCTGTGGTGCTGCCCTATAGCACAGCACTCTCTGCTCTGTGTGCTCCATCCCTCAGCAGCAATGGCTCCCTTAGGAACATTCCGGCCCCTGTGGGGCCTTTCACCATTGCTTTAGGATTTCACAACAGTGACATTTGCACATCTATCTTTAGGGCTATTTTTCATCCCTTTCTCTTTTGAGAGGAATCAATCCCAGCTCTTTCTGCCTGCTCAGCCCTCGCTTCCCAGGGAAGTGCTAATTTTTTTTTCCACTATCAAATTGATTGCAAAGAGGAGACAGTGGGCAGGGATGTAATTAGGGCGCGCGCGTGCAGTATGGATTCTTGAGCAACAATTGGGTTCAGCAGCCGGCTGCTCCGTTTGTCCTGAGCGGGGAAGCGATGTGAATTCAGCCATCGATGCTTCTTTCTAAGAACGCACTGAACGTGTTCTTGCTTTCCTAGGGGAGAAGCAAAGCGCTGCTCTGATGGATGAAGCGGGGAGCTCGGTACGTACGCTGGCTTCTATGTAAGAACCGTCACGCTTGCTTTGTTGGAGCACGTCTTCCCATTCAGCGGGACGGCAGAACGGCGAGCGTTGCTGCAGCGCTGAGCAGGCACGAGGGGCAGCGCTGGCGTCCCCTCGGTGAGCAGAGCGGAGCTGGGGGGCGTGCCGTGCGATGGGTGGGCTGAACCCGGGCATCTTTTCTGCATCTGACGGATGCGCGGCTGCTCCGTTCCTTTCTCGCCGCGCGCAGCGTTGTGCAGGCCGGCTGGGAGCTGCTCACCATGCCCGGCGCCCGGCGGGGCTGCAGGTAAGTGAGCGGAGCTGCAGTCGCTCCCTGCGCTTCCTCGGGGGGCAGCCGGCCTTCTGCCGTGCCTTCCTCCCCACAGAGCAGCGCCTGCATCGACGTTCTGCCGTAGAGATGGCGATGGATGGGGCCGGGCGAGGCACGGGGAGCGTTTTGCTGTGCTCTGACATCGCGGAGAGGCTTTCATTTTCAGTTCTTTCGCAGCTGTGTTGTGGGTTTATGCCGGTTGCCACCCCTCTTTGTCACCCTTTTGCTTTTCAAGCCGGCTCTGTCAACTTCCAGTTCAGTTTAAATTACATCTGTACCCCATCCGAAGTGACTGCCTCTGTACTTTCAGGGCTGAAATTGCAAGTTTTGCTGTCGCTGATGCCTTAGAGCAGCAGACAGTGCTTCAGTCTTAAAAAGTAGAACTAAGCAGTTCTTTGCTCAGTGTTGCTTTGTGGTTTAAGTTCTGTGTGTTTGTTTGAATCACCTTGCAGGTGTAAAGGCGTGTTTGTAGGGAAGGAATTGTCTCTTTCAGTTTGTTTTCTGGCTGGGTTCTGTTTGTACCCACCTGTAGCCCTTGGTAGAGGAGTGTCTTTGTTTCTTGGCAGGAAATATGCAGACCTTCACAGATAACACAGGGGTGCACAAAGCTGGGAGCTGAGGGTGCTGGGCTGAGGGCTCAGGGTCGCCTGGGATGAGGCAGAGACCGGGAGGGCTCAGAGCTCCACGTTGAACCCAAGTTTAAGAATTCAGGAAGGGATTTGAGCGCACTTTGCTGCTTTTAATTTTAGAAAAGCTGCGTCTGCGAGGAATTGCCTGCAGATTGAAGAGATAATTAATTTGAGAATTGTGCAGCACAGGTGAAATATTGAAAGTTCTCTTCTGATTTTGCATAGCTTTACATCTGGCAAGGACGGGGTTCAAGGGCAGAGCTCTTTAGCTGTGAAGCCCAGAATGCAGCGGATGAAGTTGGCGGTGAATTTTTAACACACACTTGTTGGTGACGTGCTGACTGCCAGCAGTTCTGTAAGTGCAGAAACACCCCAACTCTCCTAACACCACTTTGTCCCATCCAGCCCAGGCCTGGGCTGGGGTCCTGAGTGCCTTGGCAGTGCTCGGAGGTGTCATTCAGGCAGCTAAGACCAATGAGGAACGACCCCAGTGAAAAATGTATGGGTGTTTCCTACTCTCTGCATTTCCCTTTCGTTCCCACTGCAACACTGCGGTTGACTGGGAGGTCTGGTGGGGTTTGTTAAACAATCCCCCCTTGTTAAAGGGTTTTGTGCTTAAATTAAACTGTGGTTTAAGATGGAAGTTGGTGGATGCTCAATGAATGGGCTCACTGGGGGCCATTCCTCCTGCCAGTGTCAATGCTGTGGTCCCAAATCTTGGTAACAATCCCTTAAAGAAGGCATTTCATAGAAGAGCGCGGGGCTCTCAGTGGTGCTGCGAGGTGAATTGTTTGCCTGGGCTATAAATAAAAAGCTATATTTGGAAAAATAAAAAAAAAGAAAAACAAAACAAAAAAAAACAAATAGAGTCTTTATGGGCAAAATTGTACAGAGGGAAACGCGATGGAAAATTTGAGTCAGATGAGCTGATGTGTGAGGCATTTCCCTGTGGGGTCACTGGGCTGAAAAATGTTTTATGTGCCTAAAGTTGAACAGATGTGTGTGCTGAGCCCCAGCCGCCGTCCTCGCCGCATCGCTGTGCTTCATGTACACACGGAGCTGTTTGGGTGCGTTTTCTGGGGGCTGTTTTGGGTCATCCCGCTGCTCAGCGCGTGCCCGTTATTAGCAGGATGGCTTTCAGGCTTTAAATTAGGCGTGTGCTCAAACGAGTCGCGGAGCTGGGATTGCTGGCTTTGCACGGCAGTGAGGGATTTCCCCCAATTAGCTTTCTTAGATGAAAATCGCTGAAGTCTTCCAGCTCTGTGCCTAAATAAGGGCACGATACCAGCTTTCAGCTCTTACGGATATTAGTTCCACCTTTTTAGGTAGGCATTTGTCAGGAGGCAATTATGATTGCATGTGCTTGACCTTGTTTAAGATATTGCTGAGATACAGAGAGAGGACATCTGTTGTGGGTGATCAGCAGCTTCTGCTGTTCTTTCCAAGTGTAAACGTTGCAGAGGTGGGTGACGATTGTGTTTGATGATTTATTTTCCTTTCCGTGTTCCTCTCGGCCATTGATCTGCTTTGCCCAGGTGGTTTGAGTTGCCTTGGAGGCGGCTGTGCACGCTGCTGCTTCTGCTGAACTCCCAAAGCCCTTCCAAAAGGTGCAGTGTTGTTTCCACTTTGCTCTCCTGATTGAGCCGCACTACTGAAGAAATGCCAGACGGGTCTTTGTTTTGGTTTTAAACCCAAGGATGGCTGTGCTGCACTGCTGGAAGGCACAGCGTTGTGGTGATGAGTGGTGCTTGTGGCAGGAGGGTGTGTGGGCTCTGCCCAGGGCGGCATTCAGGAGAGCATTGAGCTCTAATGAAGGTGGCTGACCCCTAACGAAGGTAGTTGAACTCCATTGAAGGTGGTTGAGCTCTAACAAAGGTGGTTGAGCTCTAATGAAAGTGGTTGGGCCCCAGCAAAGGTGGTTGAGCTCTAACAAAGGTGGTTGAGCCCTAATGAAGGTGGTTGAGCCCTAATGAAGGTGGTTGAGCCCTAATGAAGGTGGTTGAGCTCTAATGAAGGTGGTTGAGCTCTAACAAAAGTGCTTGAGCCCTAACGAAGGTGGTTGAACCCTAACGAAGGTGGTTGAACCCTAACGAAGGTGGCTGAGCTCCAGCAAATGTCTTTGAGCTCCAACAGAAATCGTTGAGCTTCGGTGCAGGTCTTTGAGCTCCTACAAAGGTGCCTGAGCTCCAGCAGAGGTCTTTGAGCTCCAGTGAAGACCATGGAGCTCCAGCAGAGGTACAGAGCTTCAACTGATCGCCCAGAATGGTGATTCCTTGTGCACATAGATGTTTTTCCCTCTTTCTTGAGGGTGTTTCTGACTCCTGGTGACCCGCTGAAGCCTGGCTGAGTGCTCAGCTGTCAGTCTGGGGGCTTGGGCTTAGCCTTTGGGTGGTGGGTGGCGTGCATTGGGCTGGCTCTGTGATAGGGTGCTTTCAAATAGAGTTAAAAATAAAACAGGTTCTTACATCTGAAAGACGTGCTCCTTTTGGCTGGTGTGCTGCTTCTAAAAAAAATAGCCTGGTTTTCACATTAAACATTTCTTAGCTGGTTAACAAATGACTCAGTTTTAGTTAATGCAGACATTCCTCAGCTGACTTTCAAATAGTTGAGCTGTTTTCAAAAGGAGAGGTATTTTCATATTGGAAACTGATTCCTGGAATATTTAAAGGAACTTTGAAGAGTCTGGGAAGCAGCACACACTCATCTTCCATGTGGTCATCTCTGGTCCCTGGCTCACTGGTAGTCTCCGCTCCCGCCGTACTCTGCAGTTGGGGCCCTGTGATGTAGGCTGTGCTGTGACCTCTCTCCTCTGCAGGAAATGACTCCTTACTCCCACTCTGTTGGTTATCACTCACCCAGTTGTTCCTCCCTGCAGGACAATCCCCTGCCAGTATGGCCTTGTGGTTTCCTGGCAAGAAGCCTTTGTGAGACAGCAGCAAGTCTTGTAAATGACAGCAGTCTGCACTGCCTGTTGTGTGCTGGAAGTCCCCATACACAATCCTGTCTGACTTCTTTTTTCTGGAAAAAGCCTGCCTGATGATTCTAGCCTATATTTTCATACGGTCTCATTTGTCCTGTATGAGTGTTGGGTTTGGAGATGTAGAATTTCCCAGGGTTTGCTTTGGGACTGTTATCTTGAGGAGTCCCTCGACGAGTGGGGCTGTGCCTTTTTCTTGCACAGTACAGATATGGGGAAATGGCTTTGTTTTTCCCATGTGTCACTGTCCTCTCTTCTAGCAGCACCACGCAGTCAGCCTGTGCCTGCTGGGGCTTTCTGGGCATTTCTTGAGGAGCCTCTGAAGCAGCAGAGTAGTGGTGGAGTGGGTGCAGGGATGCCTTGGTAAGGGACTCTCTCAAATCATGCTTGGAGTTGCCTTGTTTTGTGGTCAGTCCATGTTTTACTGAGTGAATGAGCTGTGGTCCAGCATGTGCTGCTTAGCATCCTTTGTGCTAAGAGTATTTTGGAAAGCAGAATTTTGCTTGCCTCTCCACGAGGCCACTTGTGAGCTCCAGCTGGGAGAGGGGTACAACGTGAGCAAAAAGTTCAGTGACTTAACGAGGCTGTGTGAAGACATGCAGCCTTTCAGTACCTAAAGGGAGCCTGTAAACAGGAGGGGAATCAACTCTTTGAAAAGGTAGATAACAGCAGGACGAGGGAAATGGCTTTAAGTTGAAGGAGGGAAGATTGAAGTTGGATGTCAGGGGGAAGTTCTTTACAGAGAGAGTGGTGAGGTGCTGGAACAGCTGCCCAGAGAGGCTGTGGATGCCCCGTCCATCCCTGGAGGTGTTCAAGGCCAGGCTGGATGGGGCTCTGGGCAGCCTGGTCTAGCATTGAATGAGGAGGTTGGTGGCCCTGCATGTGACAGGGGGTTGGAAATTCGTGATTCTTGAGGTCCCTTCCAACCCTGGCCATTCTGTGATTCTGTGATTCTGTGCCCACCCTCCTCAAGTACTGAAAGCCTGGAGATAAGAAACTGGGGGAAATTTAGCATTGCATGGTTGTATCAGTAGAAGTCAGCTTGCTTTTTCCCATCTGTCATAATCCAGTGCTGGTGAATGAGGTGTACCCACCCATCGTCTCCAGCTCGGCTCAGTGAGAGCCATCTGACTTACAGGAGCAGACAGCACTGCTCTCTTTGGGCTTCTCTCTTTTTTCCTGAAATGGCCGTGAGAGTGATATCTGGGTCAGCTGCCTCCAGCGTGTCACTTTCTTTTGACACTCATGGCTGTGAGCGTGCAGGAGGAGCGCGGTGGGGAAGCGCCGCAGTGGGATCAGGAGTCATAAAGAAGGGATACTGTGGTTATCTGCATCACTTCGGGGGGAAATCTCTCTGATGGCTGCCCAAATGTGTTTTCCTTCTGATCTTAGCACTGTGTCCCAGGTCTCGGCGTGGGAGTCCCCATCCATCCTCAGGTCTGCTTTCAGGTATGGGGACATTTTGGACACCGTGCTGCGATGCCATCCTGAGTGTGCCTGTCTGGGCTGTCATCCAACACGGGATGGAAAGGGGCACCGTGCTGCTCTCCTGTGTATGTCCAGACCCTGTAACACATCCCCCTGTCGTTGTGTTCATTCTTACAGGAAAAGTAGTTTTGCTGCTTGAGTCCCAGCCTCCTCTGTGTGGCATCCAGCGATGGGTTGGTACCCAGCGGGCACGGACTGAAACACAGCAATCCTGCTTAAAGATAAGAGCATGGTCAGATGTTGAAACAGGTTGTCTAAAGAGCCTCTGGATTCTCCTTCCTTGGAGGAAACCCAACTGGACAGAGTGCTGCCGACCTGCACTGGTTGGTAGCAGTGGGCTGGATCTGCCTGCCCTGTCCCTGCCAGCCCTGTGGGTTTGATGTCTGCACTTGGTGGCTCTTCTCTGTCCCAGAAATGGAGCAGTGGGGTATGTCTGTGTTTGTAGCCAGAGCTTGGGAGCCCTGGAACTCCATCAGAGCTGTAGAATGAAATCAGGAGATTGAATTTGTAGCGTCAACTGCCAGCTGGCAAAACATTGTACATTTTTGGGGTAACATGCGTTGGTACAATAAAAACTGGGGGTTAAGCATCTTTGTAAGTAAATTAGTTGAATGGGTGGTTCTGTTGCTTGATGTTGGGCTTGTGGGCACGCTTATCTTGGGAGTTTTGTGGAGAGTGGCTTTGTGTCCCGGGCTGAGGAGCACGTGTTGTCCCATCACAAGGTGTCCAGGTGGGAGCAGCTGCTGGAGAGCACGTGTGGGTATTTGGAAGAGGAGAACTGAGTGCTTCTGGTCACAGAATCATTAAGGTTGGACAAGACCTCTAGGATCATCACGTCCAGCTGGAATCGTCTTGCAGAAACCCCATGGAATCCACGTTGAGAGGAATAAAGGGAACTATGAGCTTGATCAGAAATATTTTGTGGCCCTGAATCCGTACTGAGACCGTGCTCACTCCATGGGTTCGTCATTGGTGTTGGCAGGAGTGGTCGTTTTAAGGATCTGCTGCTGATCTTCAGATGTCATAAGGCAGTGCTGTTTGCTGGTAGTCCAAGAGCAGGGTGTTGGTTGCACACCTTCATGTTTGGCTGTTTGTTCTTGTCGGACTTGAGGTTCAGATTCGATCTTATTGCACAAAGGCATTGCCCTTTTCATCCCCTGCCCTGTTCGTCTTTACTTTCAAGTCACGCAGAGGCAGATGGGCAGCTCACGTGGCAAGCTGCAGTCCCAGCTTTGGGTTATGCTGTGGCTCGTTGCCCCCAGGACCAGCTGTTCCATCACACAGGCTGTCAGATAACACCCTGCCTTCTCGTGAAATCTGCTGACCAGCTTGTTTTCTCCATTATTACATTTCACATCATCGGAATGCCAGCATCACCTGGGGCTTGCTGCTGAACTTCCTTGTTATCTCAGGTCTGTAGGATCCCAGAACCCCACGAGATGGCACAGACCCGACAGCTCACCTCCACCGCCCTGGAAATACCTCCTCCTGGAGCTCCCTGTTGCTGTAGGTGAAGTAAATGCCAGTTTGGCCAGCACAACACATCTCCCAATTCCATTTGAGTTGTGTCACTGCGGGGGAGCGATGCTAAAACTGTCACTTGGCTTTCCATGCTGGCATTACCTAGAGGGCACTTGGAGGCTATTGGGGGTTCGACTCTCATCTGCGAGTTCCAGCTCATCTCTGAGCTGAATGCTCGGGTGGGTACATGCGTGTTGGTTTTCCAAAAGATGCGTGTTTGACATCTTTATTTTTTTGACAGCACAAGAATCTTATTATTTCTCCACCTCTCCTTTAGCCTGCTGCTCTATTCTGCCCAGGATCTGTGGTTCCATCATCTGAGATGCTTTGCTGGTGATGGGTTTGGCCATCGCTTTCTTCCTTCTTGAGTAGTAAAAATCGAGTGAATGTAAATGAGATTTGAATGAATTATGCTAGTTATGCATTCATCCTAATTCAAATCCTATCTTAATTAGCCCGGGGGCCTAATTTGACTTTCACGCAGCATGAAACCACTTTGGATTATCACTGGAATTGCCATGCATTTATTCTTGACTTTTTTTTCCGATCAGCGCGCATCTTTTTACACTGCTTAAAAACAAAGCAAAACTAATATATCATTAATAAATTAATCAGATTTAATTAGGGTGGCACAGAAGGACATATTTTAAGGGGAAAAATGCTGTAAATACGTTCCCTGTACCGAGAGCTTCTGTGCCGAGTGTGGGGATGAGCTCATGACACAGACACAGAGTGAAAGTCTCTCTCGCATGCACTTTCTGCCATGACTTAAACGAGCTGAAATTGCTGACATTCTGCCTTTTTCAGATGTGTGTCAGCGTCCATAGACTTCTCCTTCAAACGATGGAAGATTATTGAGTTAAATATTGCCAGAACGACAGATCTGGGAGGCACTCAGTGGACGTGGGGTGACGGTTGCTGCCATGTATCTGGTCCTGCAGCACATATGTGAAGGCAGAACTGCTCTCTAGCTCAAAAACTGAAGGATACAACCACGTGAAATGCCAGAATTCTGCGTATGACTCTCTTCTTTCCTTCTAATTAGATTGAGATGAACCTTTCCAGTAGGACAGCGGGTTAATGAGAGGTCGTTTCATTGAGCCTAAAGGTTTCCTTACAGACAGAAGGTGCTGCTGGTGTGTTTTCCCATATTTGTATCCGCAGCTTTCCTCTGGACTGGGGCTAAATATAGAATAAATGACGTTTTCTTGTCAGGGAGAAGCAGAGCTGCTCAGCAGCTTCAAATCTGAGCATTGAGAGCCTCCTAATCAACGCACGCCGTTAACGCACAGCTGATAAGCCTTGCACATGTGAAGGCTGTGGTTAATCTGAGTGTCAAGTCTGCGCTGTCAGTGTCTGTAGGTGAGCTGTGATGCTCTCATTTGTATAATCGCTGGAAGTCAGAATGGGAAACGATCTTTGTCCTGGAGTGGGTTCAGGGAGGGGTTCACAGTTCTGCATGTTTTCCTGCTCCGTTTCTCCCCGTGTTCCCCTCAGAAACAAATGGAACTCTCCGATCTCTTTCAGGCGTCTTCCCCTTTCTTCAGATGGACTCGAGGCTGACACGTTCACTCTCTGACATCCCTGCAACTTCTGAAGGATGCACACGCCGGCACGGCATGCTGTCTTGCTAACAAGGAGGTGAGATCCCTTCTGCATTAATTGCTTTTGCTGTATTGCAGCTCACCGTGAGGATTCTGACTCCTTCTCCTATTAACTGCAATCCAGTGACTGCTCTTACCCAATGACTCATGCTTTTCCTGAAATAATTCCTTGCATTGAACTTGGCCAAAGCGTTTTGTTTCAATGGGCTCAGCCTCCAAAGCAGTGTATTTATCTGCATCAATTATACTGTTTCCATTTCTCAGTCTGCAGGCTTCTGTACCACACGTGGCATTTGTCAGGCCTGGATTGCTGGGGAGAGGCAGACTGGGTGCAGAGCTGTTTCTGGTCTTGGTGGAACTGACTGTAACTAGGAGCAGTTGATCTTTGTTCTAATGTGGGAATTGTTTTTCAAGGTCTTTAATCCCCATTACGTGTGCTTTTTTAATGGTATATCATGCTATTGTTTTTCTCATTGTGCCATCAAGTAATGAATCAAATGACCCACCCAGTCCAGCCATGTTGTGCTGTGCTGATGTCTGTTCAATAAAACATTAAATTTCAGAAAAAAGGTAAATTTGCATTACTTCATTCATTGATGATGCACTGATTGCATGGATGGTTGCACTGATAATGCATTGATGATGCATTGGCTGCATGGATGCTGTGTTGGTGATGCGTTGATGCACTGGTGATGTTATGCTGTATCAATGCATTAATTGCATCGCCTCAGACCTCAGTGAACACCTGCCTGTGAACACCTGTCGTTGCATGGAACAACTTGAATAGCTGTAAGTTGTAGATTTGCAGGGCAGCACTGCTCAGCTCACGGTCTGTATTGGATTGTCCTGTCCTAAAGCAAAGTCAGCAGCAGTTCCCTGCTCTCAGGTTTTGGCTGAGTGGCTCATTGCTACCTTAAGACAGCTGGCATTGCTCTGCAGGGTCCTTTCTTCCCTTTTTCAGGGCACTGAGGTATGCAATATAATTAAAGTTAAACTAGTAGTGTTTCTCTCTGTTGGCTGTGGGTGATGGAGGCCAACATTGTTAGCTCAGATTTCAGCAGTGAAAACAAGTCCTGGTGTCAGCAGTGGGACGTAGCCAGCAGTGCCCATAAAATGTCACAGGAGCTGAGCTTCTGATCCACTGCATTAAGGAGATTTCAGTCCAAAGTGTAAACATTAGAAATGCAGAGCAGCCATGCCTTTCTCTTCTGCATGGTAGCAGCTTTGGAAGCAAGATCTGTTTGTGCAGTGGCAGAGAGCTGCTACTTTATTTCTTGACAGGGGACTTCCCAAAAGCCTGCAAAGGAGACGTAGATCTTCAAACAAGTCCCGGCAGCTGGAGCTTCCCAACAGCAGGTGATGCCACAGAAGAGTTCTGTGTTGGCTGTCAGATTTGAGCCTTTCTCTCCTGATCGCGTGTTTGCAGCGTGCGGGCTTGAGCTCATCAACTCAACTCTTTTGTGGGTTTTGTCTGTTTTGTAGATAAAATAATTTGACCACCATGAGTTGGAGCTTTCTGACCCGACTCTTAGAGGAGATCCACAACCACTCCACCTTCGTTGGCAAAATCTGGCTGTCGGTGCTGATCGTGTTCCGGATCGTCCTGACGGCAGTGGGAGGCGAATCCATTTATTACGATGAGCAAAGCAAGTTTGTGTGCAACACGGAGCAGCCCGGCTGCGAGAACGTTTGTTACGACGCTTTTGCTCCTCTTTCTCACGTGAGATTTTGGGTGTTCCAGATCATCCTCGTCGCCACCCCGTCCGTCATGTATCTGGGCTACGCCATCCATAAGATTGCCCGCATGGTGGAGCACAGTGACGTTGACAGAAGGTTCAGAAGCAAAAGCTTTTCGACGCGCTGGAAACAGCACCGAGGCTTGGAGGAGGCCGAGGATGACCACGAGGAGGACCCGATGATGTACCCAGAAATAGAGCTGGAAAGCGAGCGGGAGAACAAGGAGCAGCAGCCCCCCACCAAAGCCAAGCACGACGGGCGGCGGCGGATCCGCGAGGACGGGCTGATGAGGATCTATGTGCTGCAGCTGCTGGTGAGGGCGACGTTCGAGGTCGGCTTTCTGGTCGGTCAGTACCTTCTGTATGGTTTTGAGGTCAGCCCCGTGTTCGTGTGCAGCAGGAAGCCCTGCCCCCACAAGATAGATTGCTTCATTTCGAGGCCGACCGAAAAGACCATTTTCCTGCTCATAATGTACGGGGTGAGCTGCATGTGTTTGCTTTTGAATGTGTGGGAGATGCTCCATTTAGGGTTTGGCACGATCCGGGACACGTTAAACAACAAGAGGAAAGAGCTGGAGGACTCTGGTACCTACAACTACCCCTTTACCTGGAACACACCCTCTGCTCCTCCTGGCTACAACATTGCAGTCAAACCCGATCAAATGCAGTACACCGAGCTGTCCAACGCCAAGATGGCCTACAAGCAGAACAAAGCCAACATTGCTCAGGAGCAGCAGTATGGCAGCAACGAGGAGAACATCCCCGCCGACCTGGAAAACCTGCAGAGGGAAATCAAAGTGGCTCAGGAACGCCTGGACATGGCGATCCAGGCGTACAACAACCAAAACAACCCCAGCAGCAGCTCCAGAGAGAAGAAGTCCAAAGCAGGCTCCAACAAAAGCAGCGCCAGCAGCAAATCAGGGGACGGGAAAAACTCTGTCTGGATTTAACCTTGGCTGAGTTTATATGTTGTCTTTTTCTCACAGCCAGCAACCCGTTGAGTAATGGCTTCCATTAAGTAAATATTTGGTTCTGCTTATTTTCAGGGATACTGTTGGCTAGCGATTCCAGCTCTAAGAAAGTGTTTATATGCATACTGTAGGACTGTACAACTTTATTCTTCTGCCTTCCAAGCCAGGAGACAAATAGGTATATTTAAATCATTCTCATTGAAGGGTTTACGCTGTATGTACAGTATTATCGTACATTTATTATGCACAATTTTTTGTATTTGTACACTGGATCTCCGAAGTTACCCTTTTTTATATGAAAGGAGAAAACTGTAGGTAGCTGTTAGCATTTTGCTAGTTTTATTACTGTGGTTCGTCGTCGTTTTCTGTTTGTTTTCAATGTCAGAACTTTCTATGCTGCATTTGAGAAGTGCCTTGAACACACAGCACCAGGGAGCCCAGTTATCCGCTCCCTTAGAGCAGGGGGAGGTTCGGAAAACGTCTGCTGATGGTGCTCTTGACTGTACCTTTTTATAAAAATGATGTGCTACTTACAAATGGAAGTGTCACACTATAGCTATTATGTGCTACGTTTCTTCATCCCATGGAAAATGACTCGTAATTCCATGTATTTACATATTTAAGAGGTTTCTGAGGTCTCTCGTTACGTAACACCCTGCTCCATGTGTCCCATAGCTGCCTATATGGGGGCCACCATCTGTCTGTCTCACCCAGATGTCCCCGTGTCCCTTGTCACTGGGATACTCATTGCCCTGCTCCCTTTTGTCCCCCTTGTCCCCGGTCCTCTTTGTCCCCTGAGGTCATTGGGATGCTCGTTCCTTTGGTCTCTTTTGTTCTCCTTGCCCCATGCCCCTTCTCCCCTTGTCCCTGTCCTATGAGGTCATGGGGATACTCATTCCCCTTATCCCATTTGTCCCCCTTATCCTCTGGTCCTTTATCCCATGGGGTCATTGAGATGCTTGTTCCCCTGGTCCTGTTTGTCTTCCTTGCCCCATGTCCCCTGTCCCATGAGATGGGGATACTCGTTCTGCTGGTCCCATTTGTCCCCCTTATCCCCATGTTCCCTTGTTCCCTGGTTCTGTTTGTCTCCTGGGGTCACTGGGATACTCATTCCTCTGTTCTCTTTAGTCCTCCTTGCCCTCTGTCCCCCTTTCCCCTGTTCTATGAAGTCTTGGGGATCCTCGTTCCCCTTGTCCCCATATCCCCTTGTCCCCTGATTTGCTGTCCCATGAGGTCATGGGGATGCTCGTTCCCCTTGTCCCCTTTGTCCTTCGTGTCCTCTGGTCCCTTGTCCCCTGGGTCACTGGGATACTTGTTCCCCCGATCCCATTTGTCTTCCTTGTCTCCATGTCCTCTGGTTCCCTGTCCCATAAAGTCATGGGGATTTTCATTCCCCTGGTCCCATTTGTTCCCACGTCCCCTGGTCCCTTGTCCCACGGGGTGTTTGAGATGCTCATTCCCCATGTCCCCTCTGTCCTTATGTCCCCCGGTCCCTCACTGCGTGTTTTCATCCTATGGAAAACGACTCATAACTCCACATATTTACATATTTAAGATGTTTCTGCGCTCTCTTGTTGCATAACACCCCGCTCCCCGGGGCTCTGAGTTGTTCCAGTACCTTTTGGGGAAGATTTCTGTGTTTCCAAAGTGATGTGGTTGGCTGGACTCGTCATTCTGCTCTCTGGTAGCCCTGCTCCCCCGGCCCTGCGCACACACGCTGTCTGTCCAGGTTTTTACAAAACCCTTCTGAATATAAACAATAATGCCTTATCCCCGACCCCTCTTCCTCCCGTCACGTCCGAGGGGCCGAGTTCAGACGGAGCAATAAATGTACCATTTAATTTCTGCTTGAGAGGCCGGTCAGATCCGTGGCATTCTGCAATTTTGGCATTCGACTTGAATTTATAATTAGAAGAAAAAAAGGGGAACGCGGTATTTACTGCCCCTGGCAGTGTCTTTTTGGCCAGGATGAGCATTCACATCTGAGGGACGCTGAGAAATGTCTGTTTTCTGTTGCTCTGTGTAACGCTTTGGGACTTTGCTCTGCTCCGTCCCCAGTTCCAGCAGTGCAGGCAGTGCACCTTTGCTTTGAGACGAAGCGTTCCTTGCAGAGGACAGGTGTGGAAGCCCTCTGTTGGTGTTTGTGGCTGTAGTTGGTTTCAAGGCTTCGGGTTTGGTTCCTTTCTCCTTCTGAAGAAATGATAACGCATTACTTGAAAACGCTCTCTTGCTTTGGCTTGATGCAGGCCATCCTGAAATAAACACTCAGAACAGATCTTGGACCAAAAAAAAAAAAAAAAAAGAAAAAAAAAGGTACCTTGAGTCTGTTAACCTCTGGTTTTGTCTATTAAACGCAGTTGCAGAAAAGCAGGCTGAGGCTCAGGCGGCGTTTTTGCAGTGGGACGCGCGGTGGTGCGGCAGTGTGAGATGAGGGGTTGCAGAGGTTGGGATTTCAGCCTGTTTGACCTCGGCGTAACAAAGAGCCGCTTTCTAACGGCGTCAAAAGGGAGGAATGTGGAGTCAGCCCTCGAGGAGCTCCTCCTGACCACCCGGGATCTGCATGGATGCATGTGGATGAGCTGTGCGGCGAAGCGTGCGGCCTCAGCTGCCCCGAGCGCAGCAGACGGGGCCGGCTGCCTTTGCACGTCGCAGCTGAATGCCCGTCTGTTTTGCTGTCACAAAGGATGGCTTTGTGAGCTGGGCTGTTTGTGGTGGAGCAGGACGTCACCCACCTCCTGCAGCAGCCGTTCGTTCCGCCTCTACCCGAGCGGTGTTACCAGATGGATTGATCATTGCTTGGAAAGCGGCGCTCTGCTTTCTGCAGGGTGATGTGGGTGCTGTTGTTGGGCTGCTGCTGTGCTGTGCCAGGAGGGCTGGTCTGTAGGGGGAAATCTCTTCCCGCATCTCTTGCAACGAGCCAGGCCTCGTGTCAGTGATGTATTTCAGCTTTGCATGCACACAGGTCACGCAGCGTGCCGCCTTCCACCCTTTTACCTCGCCCTCGTTTAAAGCTGTGTGGTGACTCGAGTTCCTTTCTGAGTGTTTCTTTTGTCCAGAGCAGAGCCACAAAGCCCCACAGCTCAGAGCAGCACTGCTGAGTGCCAGCCTGAAGGATGAGGGACGGCACCCAAACCTTCAGCCTGCTCAGCAAAGCGGTGCGTTGTTAATCAGCTCCAGCACTAATTGAGGGCCCTGGGGTCACTGAGCTGCTGCCAGGTCTGTAGGGTGCCCCACCAGCCAAAGAGCCGCAGCTGGGAATCCGGCCCTTTGTGCTGAGCTAAGAGTCACCCCAGCACTGAGCCCTTTGTCTCACATGCAGAGCGTGGATCAGCAGCTGTGCTTCGTCTGTCGTCCATATTTGGTAGCAAACTTGTTCACATCTCAACAGCTCTTTGCAGGAGCTGCTGAAAGGTCGGTTTGATGACATCAGCTGTGTGCTGAACCTCGGTGGGCTCAGAGCTGGGATGTGGTCAGCATGGGGGATTAGCACCTGGGTTTGGGAGAGGGGAACCTGTGCTGTCCACTGGATGCAGCGTTCAGCTCTCAGAGCAAACATGCTTCTCGCTGCAGAAATGAGTGCTGTCTGCTCTGCATTGACTTCTCTTTTCAGCCCTCTTGCCTTGCAGTGGAAGGGAAGCTCAGCACACTCCCAGTATCACTGAGCCACGGTGGCCAGAAATCCTCCTGCTGAAAACCAGAGAGAAAATCTGTTTGTGAGGACTTTGCAGTGCAGCTGCGGAGAGGAGAAGCAGCTCCAAACCCAGCAGAGCAGCTGCAGAGCTGTCCTGCCGCGGGCACACATGGGGAGATGCGTGGCCAGGAGGTAAGAAGCGTCTAAAACAAGAGCAGACGTGATTGTATCAAACAGAAAAGGAGTTTATTCAAGGAAACGTAGGGAGGGAGGTTGGGGGGATGCTGTGCACAGAGCATGAATGCCATTCAGCTGATGTTCAGCTGATGTTCAGCTCGGGGAAATCCTCGCTGCCAGCCGCACCTCAGTGCTGCAGGGCAGGCTGGTGCTGTGCAGGCATAGAGAGACCCACCTCCCCATAGACGTGCAGGGTTCTGAGCAGAGGGCAAGCTGTGTGCACTGCTCGCCCGAAACGAGGTATTTCCAAGAAGCTGCAAAATGCCATCAAGTTTCCTTCATCCATTATAACACACTGTCCCTGCATGAATATTTCCCCTGGATGTCATTTCCCCATCGCCCCCAGGGGAAGGGAAGCCGTGCACTGCTGGGCTGGCAGCAGTGTGGGGTGGTGTTTGGTTCAGTGAGTCTCTCTGAGACGCGGTTTCCCATCACCTCTTCTCACTGCTGAGCTGCAGTGGGGTTATATAACAGATGGGTTTTCTTTTTTTTCTTTTCTACCCCATAAGGGAAGCTGTGATCCTCTGTAATGTTGGGATTTCTTTGCGTTTCCTATCTGTGTGCATCTTCTTCATATCCGATGCGGGAGGAGATCCCAGCAGTGCTGGTCGCAGCACGAGGGGATGGGAGTTACATAAACTGCTCTGACCCGGAGTGCCACAGCGCTGCAGACATTCCAGGAGATCTTCAGGAGCTCCACAGCCTTCAAAGCTGATTTAACAAATTGCCGTTTTGTCATTGCACCGAAATTCTTCAGAGACATTTGGGAGATGTGCTCAGGATGCTGAGCCTCTTCTTTGCCACGCACCCAGCAGGCTCTGATCCCCACCTCCTGCAGGGCAGTGGGGGCTGGTGGGGGTTTAACACCCACCTGGGAAGCACTGCTGCTGCTATGGTGTCTGTGATGGCCTCAGCTCCGCAGGGGTTAAAGCTCACCAGCAGCAAGGTGAACTCAGCACTCCAAGGGAAAGAGCAGCAGCAGTGCTGGCCTGTGGAGTGATGGGATCTCTGAGCTGGGAAAGACCTCCAGCAGCATCCCAGCTAGAGGAGCACTTCCTAAAGGGCAGTGGGAGATGTCTTGCATTGCTGGGAATCGGGTTTCCCCCATTGCCCCCAGGGCATTATGCACCCCAGTGCAGCTGTGAGGAGCGCCGGGCCTTCCATCACATTTCCAGCTGTCCTGGGCTGGCAGTGTCCCTTCCTTTCTCCTTGTCTGAGCGTTTCCTGCTGCAGCAGCACTCCGACACGCAATGCCCCATCGCCTGCAGCGGGTGTGTGTCCCATTTCCCAGCAAGGCCAGCACTGGGTCAGGGCCTGGTCGCTGCCTGCTGGCGGAGCTGCTCCTTCCCACGGCTGCAGCTTGGAGATGCTCACTGCTCCCCTGAGCTGCTCCTGTCTGTGCACGGCTGTGTTCTGTGCTTCCAGCTGTGGCCTCGCACTCAGAACCTCGGCAGCAGGTGCCAAATACCAGCTTTCATTTGTCAACTCAGGGAGAAGCAGAATGGGGGTGACGGACCAGGGCTGAGGCTGAGCCCTCGCTGTCCCCTCTGCAGACCTCATTCTTTCACCCTGGGTGCAGCCCAGCAGCCTCTCTCAGGTCTGAAGCACCCAGGGCATGTGGGTCTTGCTTTCTCTCCCCTTTTCCTTAATCCCCTCAGCTCCCTGCAGGACAGCATCCTCCCATTCCAGCCCACATGGCAGCGTTGGCTCCCGACCATCTGATGTCTCCCTCTGACCCAAACTTCTCTGCTCTCTCACAGATAGGAGAGCTGAAAAGCCATCGCCTCCCTCTGCTCCTGCAAGCTGCTGCTCACGTGGCTCCCCGTGCTCCTGGGGGGTCCGGGAGGACATTCTTCCTTGTGTGCACCCTAAAAGCGAGGTCTGCCTCATTAGATTATCGCCGAGAAATCACAGCCAGATGGTCCACCATCAGCTCCTGCAGCTGAAGGAGCCGAGGGACTGCAGGTTCGAGCGGCTCCCCTTTATGTAATGGCACAGAGGCTGCAGGAGATCCGTTCTGTTGCTCTGCCGATGAGCAGTGGATCTTTTTTCCTCCTCATGCTCTGTGATTGGCAGGACCCGCTGCTCAGTGCTGTCCTCAGGCAAAAAGATGGTAAATAAATCACTGATTTTTGTGCTGTGTTCCAGCAGGACGCATCGCTCCGGGAAGGACCTCGGAGGGGCCGGGAACCCGGCGCCATTTCCATGCCCTCCTGACCCCAAAGGCCTCAAAGCACTCAGCGTTCACTGCTGGTGCTTCCACGTCATTTCTGATGCGCTCGGCTCCGCGGCACACAGACAGCAGCCCCAAAAAGCTCCTCTGAGCCGAGCCTCTCTTGTGGCTGGGAGCAAAGCTGCGCTCCTCGGGAGGACCCCAAAGATGGGAGGGTGCTGCAGCCCCGCGTTGTGCCTTCGGTCCGGGCTGCGGGGCGAGGAGCCGGCGTGGCCCGGCTGTGCATCTCCGGTGCCGGCCGTCGGTGCGAGGAGCGGGCAGGGAGAGCCCTCTCGTGGCTGATGCGGGGAGGAGGGCGCTGGGGGGGGAGGACGGCGGCGTGGGAGGGTCGAACCGGGCTGAGGAGTTCCGTGTGGGCCTGGGAGTGTGGCCGGGATGGGCATCCCGGTGAGGGACGGGGGGGCAGGGGACAAGGGGACAAAGGGGACGAATGAGCATCTCAGTGATCCCAGGGGACAAGAGGGCAACAGGGATAAATGGGATCAGGGGAACGAGATCCCAATGACCCCATGGGACAGAGAACCAGGGGACAAGGGAGATAAATAGGATCAGGGGAATAAGCATCCACATGACCCCAAGAGATGGGGGACCAGGGAGCAAATGGGGCACAAAGTCAAGAGGGACAGATGGGACCAGTGGGAGGAGCATTTCAGTGACCCCATGGGACAGGGTACCAGCAGACAAGAGGACAACAGGGATAAATGGGACCAGGGGAACGAGCATCCCAATGACCCCATGGGTCAGGGAACCAGGGACCAAGGGACAAGAGGATGAGGGAATAAATGGGATCAGGGGAATAAGCATCCACATGACCCCAAGGGACAGAGGACCAAGGGACAAGAGGACGAGGGGATAAATGGGACCAGGGGAATGAGCATCCCAGTGCTGGCCCCAAGGGACAGGGGACCAGGGGACAAACGGGACACAAAGACAAGAGGGACAAATGGGAGCAGGGGAATGAGCACATCAGTGACCCCATGGGACATGGGGACGTGTGGACAAGGGGAAGGAGCATCCACATATTCCCGTAGAACAGAGGAGCAGAAGATAAGGGGAACAAATAGGACCAGGGCATTGAGCATCCCAGTGACACCAGGGGATGAGGGGGACAAGTGGAACCAGAGGAGAGCGCATCCCAATGACCCTATGGGACAAGGAACCACAGGACCAGGGGGACAGATGGGACCAGAGGAGTGAGTTCTGTCTGGCCCTGGAAGTGTGAGGATACGTCAGATGTGAGCGTGCAGCTCTGCCCAGCCTCGTGCTGCTCAGCCAGGCTCACAGAAAGGCAGAACCTCACCGATTTTCCAATTCTTTATTGTAAATAAATCTGTGACACTGCAGGAGGCATTGCGGGGTCCGGGCGGAGGCACCCGCTGACCCCCAGCACGGGTGAAGCAGGCACGCGAGCAGGAGGTGAGGTGTGCTGCGGGGCCCTGGGGTCAGCTCACCCCATCCCTGGGCCATCCCCCAGTCCTGGTGGCACTGCGGGGCCGTACAGCATTAAAATCATTAAGAAAAAAAAAAATATTTTTATATATATATATATATTTATATATATGTTCACGTCCCCAAAACCGGTGACGAGTGTTGGGACGGGGACATGGGGCTCCTGTGGGGACGGCGGTGTCCTCTCGCAGGCACTGCAGCTGTGGGGACATTGTGGTGACAGATTGAGGGACGGGGGGTTGGACCCCCACACACCTCTCCGTGCTGCCCAGCTCCCCACAGCCCATCGCCGTGGCCATGGGGCTGCTGTGTCATATGGGGACGCCACCACAGCTGAGTTTGGGGACGTCCCATCCTGCTGCCATCTCCACCCCATGGTCCTGGGACTGCCACTCGTGGTCACCCCCATGCAGGCAGACCTGGGGACACCTCCTGTCCCACTGCTGACCCCAAAGCAGGAGACACATATGGGGGGACGCTGCCACCCCATCGTGGGTGTGGGGTCCCCGCTGTGCTGTGTGTCATCGTGGGGCTGCGGTGGGCCCTAAGTGCTCCGTGGTGGTGTGGGATGGATGGCCTGGGGTGATGTGGGGCCACAGGGACAGGGGTGACACGTGCCACCCCCTTGTCCTGAGGGTGACACGTAGGACATGTGAAGTGCCAGGGGGACCAGGGGGGCAGAAGAATGAGCATCCCAATGACCCCAGGGGACAAGGGACCAGGGGAACAAGGGGGACAAATGGGACCAGGGGAATGAGCATCCCAGTGACCCCAAGGGACAAGGGACCAGGGAACAAGGGGACATGGGGTGACAATCCCCTGGGCTCACCCTGCCCCCCAGCCCCATAGGGTGGCTCTGATGGTGTCCCCATATTGGGGTTCACCTTTTGGGATGGGGGAGATAATGGATGGGGGATGTCCTTGACCCAAAGCCTGGCACCTGTGGGTGTGGGACCCCACTGGTGGGGACGTGAGATGAGGGGGGACAGAGGTGGCTTCCAGGCCCTGCTCTCGGGGCATGGAGGGGACAACTGGCCTGGTACTGGGGGGTACTGGGGCATACTGGCCTGATACAGGGGGTGCAGCCCCCAGAGCTGGAAGATGTTGACATGGAGTGAGGAGGGGTTCTGACCCCCCCCCTCCCCAGGGCCATGTGGGGTTGGGGGTCCTGTTGCGGCCCCCCCGGGTACATTCATGGCGGTGCAGTGACCCCAACCCCAGAGGGCCCGGGGGTTCCGGACATTCGTGGCGGTGCAGTGGGGTCGGGGGGATCCCCCCGTGCTCTCCTCCCTCCTCGGGTGGACCTGCTCAGGCCCCCCCGGACCTGCAACACAGAAGTGAGGAGCGCTTTAGTGCAGGGGGGTGACACGAGGTATGGGATGGAGGGACACGGGGGACACCAAGCCCCAAAGAGCCCCCCCCCGCCCCACTGGGCTCTTTGGGGTGGGCACAGAGATGGAGACAGCACGGGGGCAGCCGGACAGACAGTGACACGGACAGACGGGCGGCGGTTCCGGCCCGGGGGGGTCACCGCTGCCGCCGGACGGTGATGGTGACGAGGAGACGACGGGGTGGGGGGTTACACTCCCTGCTGCGCCGGGTCGTACCTTCCGCGGCGGATGTTCCTGGGGACAGGGGGGAGAGGACGGCGGTGTCAGTGTCCCCAGTGTCCCTCGGAGCCCCCTGACCCCCAGGGGACAAGGAGGACAAGTAGGACCAAGGCAGTGAGGATCCCCATGAGCTCATGGGACGAAGGAATAAAAAGGACAAAGGGGGACTGGGGAATGAGCGTCCCAATGATCCCAGGGGACAAGGGACATGGGGTCAAGGGGGACAAGTCGGATCGGGGGAATGACATCTCCATGACCACAGGGGACAAGGGACCAGGGGACAATGGGGACAAATGGGACTGGGCAAAAAATGTCCCAATGAGCCTGGGGGGCAAGGAGACATGGTGATGAGGGGCACAAAGGGGATTGGGGGAATGAGCATCCCAGTACCCTGTGGGACAAGGGGACATGGAGACAAGGGGATAAACGGGACCGGGGGATGAGCATCCCG